ATAGATAGATAGATAGATAGATAGATAGATAGATAGATAGATAGATACCTACTCCTACATGGACAGATTTTCTTGCTGCCATGATTTCCATTTCAGCCGTAAGATGCATTACAAATCATCAAATGATTAGATTACAACTTCCAGATGCGATATTATGGGTAAATTTAATGTGAATAGCTAGTTCAGGCAGTTCTAAATAAAATGTTAGAGCAAAGCGGCCTGTAATTCAGGGCTTCTGCTTGGGCCACAGATACGTGATAATTGTTCGGAGCAGATCCACAGCTCATTTACAATTTACGCAGCTTCCCAAGCACACATGCACAGGTAATGAAAAGCTTAATTGCCACGAGTAGATAAAAGCCTCCATGTAAACTCAACTGAACAGACTGTTTACCTGCATCTAACCAACATTTATTTTGTCTGGTCAACATTTAGATTCTGGCTGTAGAGATTATATGTACTAGATTGCAAACAAAATCCCAAGGTAGGTTAGGAAAATACCTCCGAGGCCCATCGTAATCTGCTTTTTCTTTTTTTTTGTAGTAATCCATTTTTCTTTAACTGGAAATTTTGCTGTAAACTCAAAAAGACAAGCGTTTTACGAAGAGTGAAAGGTTTTTGTAACCTGAGAACCCAGCAAACTGTGCTATCGGGGTTTTGCATTCAGATGTTTTCGCAGCCTTAAACTAAAAATGGTCAGTTTTCTCACTGCCCCGGCTCTGCTCTGCTTTTCCTTCGCTTTCACCAGTCTGACGGCTTCACCTTGACAGTGACTGATATGGATACATGCTTGTGTAATCTCATAGATTTCTGTCCACCATGTGCACACGTATACAACACACGCACACACACACCATAAGGCACCCTGTCAGGTATTGAATAATCAATGCTGCAGAGCAGAGCAAAAGCCTTGGTTATTCATGTGTGATAGTGCCTCTGCAGAGGACCCAGCTGGCACCCACAGAACTACGTCAGAATGCAATGTGTGTGTGTGTGTGTGTGTGTAGCGCACATGGGTGTGTCTGAGAAAGAGGCTTGAGAATACCAGTATATTTATCAGATCTGACTGCATGTGTGTGAGAGAGCGTGTGTGTGCACACCTGTCAGTACGAACAAATTCACTCACCTGTGACGTCCTCATTCTGTCTCCCCGTAAGCCGTCACTGAGAGTGCTCTACTCAGAGGCCCAGGCAACACACACATACACACACACACACACACACACACACACACACAGTGTACCCTGTGATATCAGCCATGGGCAGGTGTTGAGATCAGCAGCTTCTGAGGTGGATTTCTGCTGTGGCCATTTGAGCGTGGGCCATTTATTTTCAAGGTAATAAACGCTCCTTGTCACTCCCGGTGGTGCACATGTGTAAAATGTACATCAGGGCATGAAGATGCAATGATCAGAAAGTTAAGTGGAAGGAGGGGGAACGTTGCTGGATATGGAGCTCTGTTATTTGTTTTTGTTTTTGTTGTAGTTGTGGTGACTCTTGGTGACTCTTCAATCTTTCTGGGACATAACAGTCTTTTTTCCTTTTTTTTAAGTAACAGTGATGATGAATCCAACAGAAAACAAGTTCCTACACACATGTCTGATGTCACATTCTCACATCTAGTGGCCATGTACGCACACACATGCAGTTTGTGCAATTAGACATTGAAACAAATGATCAAGCACACAATGGACGGTTGGAGACAATAGTAAAAAGTGGTGTTATTTTTTAATTAAGGATATATAAGCTGTCTTCTGGCTTTGTTGATCCACACCAAGCTTACCCGGATGAATATAAAATGTGGATAATATAAAAGAATAAAACTGTAATACAGAATGGTGTTTATCCTCAATATCAATCAGTATAAAAAATATTTTATTAGAATATCAAATAGCTGCCTTAACTGTAGTTACTACAACACTAAATGATTAAAAAATCCATTCCATCGACTGTTTTCTTTTCTGTATATTTTTTAAGTATCAGATTTAATGATGCACTAAACCAGGTAGAAAAATGAATATAGAAACGATTTCATTCCTGGCATTGTGATGAGCTGATAAAATGTGTCTTTTCATTACTGCAATGTCTCCTGACCTGCAAGTGAACTTCTGGCCTTAAGATGGGCTGTCAGCAGCCTCCTCAGGGGTCTCATATCCTAACAACAGATTGGACCACTTAGGGACAAATATCCCGCTGACCACCTCTCTGCTGCCAAAGCCACTGCTAATTAGCAGTCTGTGGGAAGGGAGTCAAACTTGTGACCGAGGTGTGACATCATCCACCGACTGAAATCTGTATTATCATATTCCATTTGCACAATAAATATGTTTCCTCTGAATTCCAATGAATAATTCAGATTCACATAAACCGTGGAATATTAGGGCAGTAAATCAGTTCTCTGTTGATCTAAGTAAAGCTTGCAGCTGCCACTTCAAACAGCAATTATGACTCTACAGAACTGAAATCTGGCCAGCCTGCGTCACTGTAACCACTGACACACACGTACACTCAATGTACATTCACCTTTCAGACTAATTTCTCCTAAGACATGTTGCCGTGTTAAGAAAAAATTCAATTTGATCTCTTTACCTCCAGCCATATATTAGCAGCAAGCCCACCGCACATGCACTCATTATTCCTGACTATGTGTATTTATAGGTCAATTTGCATGTCTCTGTATGCACTGTTTGCAGTTTGCTTTACAGTGATTTATTAATCAAATCAGAAGTAGATGCATGACTTGAAACTCCTATCTTAAGATAAATTATAGCCTGATTTCATAATTAACCCCTCCAAAAAAACTTGTTTGGCCAGGAAATCTGTCATGACAGTTAGGTAATGAACAACTGTGGTGTAACGGTGTGAAAACAGAAAGTAAGTGCTGTCTGTCTTTCTCACATACACAGTGAGTACAGCTTTCATCTAACCTTCCTCTGCTTTCCTGCTGCCGTTTCCATGGGACAACAGCGGCCGTATTGGTTGGGGATGGAAGCTGGTTGCTTCATTAGAGGAGCTCAGCCTTCATTAAAAGATTCTGTTAGAGGCTGTGTAGGTGGAAAGCTACCGCGGACACAATTTGTACAGTCTGAGTTTTTTTTTTTCTTGTGATACTTGAATGATATCAGTTGGAAAGCAGCAGTGTTTGCTCCCACTGCATCCATGCTGTAATTAAGTTAGACATCAGCTCATGAGCTAATTTACATCTTTTAAGCAGTTTCTTTCATGAGGCCATTAAACATCTGATGCATCGCAGCACTTTTCTGACTGCTACTGTAGATACACAGGGGCTTTCCATAATGAAATGATAACTGTCGTTCAGACAAACATTGCGTTGCTTGAACAAGTATGAGAGTTGTTATTGTTGTTTTGAGTAGAAACAAGTGGTGCAATTTAATACATCTGAGATTAGAATAGAAAGATATTAGTATTTCAAATCATTTGCTGTTAGCTTTCATTTGAGTAAAGCTCCTTTATTATTAGTGTACATGTTTGACAATTGGCTCTTTTTTCCCAATTATATTTGCAAATGCATTCATATGAAGACACATTTCTCATTTTAACAAAACAGAAGACAAACAAAATGAAAATTAAAAATGCGTGTCTCTGGATAAAGCTTCCAGAGAGGGGCAGGGAATTTCTGTATCAGCTTTATATTTTCCGAAGGAAGTGTTTGTTTGGCTAAACTACGATTAGCCATTCGCTCCTCTGTTTATCGGACGTCCGTGCAGGTGACGTCACCGCGCAACTGACGGCCGACCCCCACGTGACGCAATCACGCATCATTTCCAAACAATGCTCAGGAAAAAGCCACGTTGACGGTTCAGAGTAAGAGTAGTTGCACAGTTTAGAGGCAGAATAAGGCAGACATCTGGTATCTGGACGGCGCGGTTCCTCTTCGACATGTCTTCCCCGCCGAAGGAGAAAATCGAAACCAAAGGTGGACACCTCCCTGCAGGTATGGCTCCCTGTGCTGTTGCCTTTGAATGCTTCATACAAGCCCGAGGGCCTTTGTTTTTCTGCACTGTCTCCCATCAAAATCCCACATGGTGATTCATAATTCGTATTTGATCCCCCAAATTGGCAGAATTCCCCTTTTATATAACGTGTGTTAGCATACGGGATTGCGTCAGTCTAATTTCTGCTTCGCACATTCCTCACTTCCTGATTGGCCCTGTTTTATGTTGCAACGTGAATTAAACTCGTGACATGGTGGCGATCGATGGTCCTCAGAAGACCCGTGTGAAAAGCGTTTCGCTGCCGTTAACGGTTGCGGGATGTCGTTGACGTGTCGTACAGGGGTGCAGGGATGACTCTGCTAGGGTGTACGTGGACAAGAGCAGCGTGGAGGGCCACTGGGCCACAGCAGCCGCAGGACTGATAAGATAACGAGATAAAGAATGCCCCTCGTACCCAAACCTGTGGCCACTGAGAGGCCAGCACCACAGGAAGGGCTGCAGTGTGTCAGTCTTTAACTAAGTCTGAAGTATTGCCATGCTTCTGTCTATGAACTTGCTCTCAAGGGGGAATTTGCAGGGCGAGGTCTGCCCAAAAAATCAACCTTCTGTCATTTTAACAGGGATTCAGATGAAGGCCATAGTCTGATTTTAATCAGGATGATGGTCCCAAATCGTTCCACGCGAGCCCCGAAGTTAGAATTGGTTGGGAATGTAAATAAAGGAGTGCTTGGTATCTGCGCTCAGATTTGTTGGATTCATGGCGCAAAAGTGGCGACGTCATCACAGAGCGTGTGTGAGTGTGTCTTTCCTTGTGTTGCAGTCAAAGCAGGAGGCATGAGGATAGTGCAGAAGCACCAGCCGGCCGCTGTCCCAGAGCCACCGCCAAAAGACGAGGAGGAGGAGGAGGAGGAGTACGTCAGCACCAGGTAGGACGCCGCAGGCCCTCACGGCCTCCCTTTTTGGTTTCATTCGGCCCCTGTCGCAGAACAATTGTTAATGATGTCAAGCTGGGATGTGTTTTTATCTACTTTAAGAACATTCTCAATAATTACTCAAAAGTCATAAAAGACATGCTTTCTGCCGTGCTGCAAAATGGGCATCTGGATGGGGAACCATGAAAAAAAGAAAAGGAGCAATACTATTTGGGTAAAAAAGGTTCTTTCAGAAGTTGATGCTGTTTGATCATCACTGATTCTGACTAAAGAGACCCAGTGACGTGTCACTGGGCTGGCCCCTCCTCTTCATGCAATTTTAGCCAATGTTTGCCCAAGAAGTCCCTTAATCTGCCGTTTAGTCCTTCAAAAACTTTCGAACGTCCACGTGACCCATCATGTGAGTCACATGTTTGTTCTGCTGGGGATAAGGTGTTGACTTTTGCTTTTTATGTGCATCAACTGTTCTGTACTAAAAAGAAAATAACCAAAAGGCTTAAAACTGGATCATGGGCCTTCTGTCATACCATTGAAAGGACCACACAGAGATGCTCCAACAAGCATACTTTTGAGGATTTCTTACTAATGACATTCTATATGTCACAATGTGAACATACCTCGACATTTGTTTACAAAATGCATGTAACTCTCATTTTATTCTAATATTTAGTACAATCTCACCCCTTTACTCACCCATTTATTCCAGTCTATTGCAGCTCCTCTTTAACACTATATTATCGTGGACAGTTTTCATTTTTATTGCTTGAGGCACCAGTTTCCACTTCAGTGGCCTATGCACATTTAAAACATAAAAACCCAAATACATGCAAAAAAATGGGCTCTTAAATGGCTGTCCACAGTAGTGACCGCTGTGCATGAAAGGGTTAAGGAGGCTTAGAAAATACAGTTGTGTTTTTTTCTGTCTTTGTTTTTTTTACCCCTGTTTTTTTTTAAGTTCCATATTCTCTTTGTTAACATGACGGTTTGACAGAGCGTGTGAGCCAAACTGGTTGTTTGTGAGTCCGTAATCAAGCCCGCGGCGCGCTAATTGCCACCGAGCAGTTCAGCAGCTTTCTGCTTTCTTTAAGGCCGCACTGTAGGCCGTGCCGGCATTGAGTTTTTGTTTTGTGTTATGTTTTTTTTTTTTTTTTGTCTGTGTGTGTACGGTCGGAAGTTAATTTAGCAAACAACTTAATTGCTGCATAATTACCGCATTAACTCGAACGGCCCATTCAGCCATCTCTGCTGTTTGTTAGAAGCAGCTTTGCTTGTTTTACATCGAGCTGACTCTTATTTTCTTGCAGCGATCGTTGTCGCGTTTCCCACGTTGGCGCGTGGGGCTTTTTTTGTGGCCTGGGCGAGCCGTTTGCGGCCTCCTCAATATTCATGAGTGCCCGTCAGCTATGTGCATATTGGTACAGGTGCTATGTTCACATAACGTGTCAGTGTGTGTGTGTGTGTGCGTGCGTGTGCTAATGAGAGGTGATAAATGGGAAGTGTCAAGCACTACGCGGCGGTGTGCCGGGTTCAAGAGCGTCGCCAACTGTCAGGACTTTTTATTTATTTATTTTTTTTATTGGTGCAACATAAAGCCAGCCTCACTGAATGTTTACTGCATGTTCTGTGTCCATCTCTCTCGCTCCCCGAGTGTTTTTTCCGGACATTTAGAGGTGGTGGGAAGTTTTACGGCGGCGAGGACCGGTCATTTCCCTTTGCTCCACTTTTTCCTTTGTGCTGAAGTGAGGGGGACCAATAGAGCGGGCATCAAAGTAAAACAGGAGGTCAAGTAGATGAAGAAAGTCGGAAAACGATCCGGGCCGCTTGACCGCTGCTATTAAAGGGGCCCGGGGAAGGTTTATGGCAGCAGTGGCCAGCACGGATCAGGATTCGAGTGCCGCATCAGATGCATCAGTATGGGGGCAGATTCTAACTCCAGAGGCCTTTCGCTGTTTCATGTGTTGCCTCAGGTGACAAACAGAATTTTTTTAAAACTAATGGATAAAACCTGAGGACTCATTTATCTATTGGAAGAAAAGAAAGACAAAGATTCCATTTGATATGTCGGAATTTATCACAGATTTTTCAAAATCTTCATTCGTTTAAGTTTTAAAAGCCAAGAGGTGTCGCTTTTCTCCCCTCTCCTGCAAATTGGCTCATCAGGTCATCCGAGGTTCAGTAACCTGTGTTCTCCTGCCACTTTGTGTCCTTTCCGGCTTGCCTTCTAAGAGGAGTTGTAATTCCATCAGCCGTGTGAATAAATCCGACATTCACACGGGCTCCGTAAACTCTCGGCTTTGCTGTGCGAGTGCCGGTTTGGTTTCCCCCCCCCCCCCCCCCGTGTGAAATCTTTATCTTAAACTGAAAATTACCTGTCAGCCCGTCCAAAAATAAAAAGCACCGGCCGAGTAACGGCTCCCTGCCCCACTAAATACGGCGGGTGAAGCTCAGTCACCCACAGGCTCTCTGCTTTTTCCCTCTCTGTGTCACGCCGATGGGCGTCAGGCTGCCGGAAAAACGGCACCGGTAGCAGCCAGTGAGGCGTCCAAAGCCTGCTTTGGCCAAGATGGATGGATAAGAAAAAGAAGGATAGGCCGGTGATTATGATGAGGTGGAGAGGATTATTTTGGTTTGGGGAAGCGCTGGGTGTCATGACAATGCGTGGATGTAGAAAAAAAAGAGCAGAGAGCTGCAGCCGGCTGACAACTCCTGGTGGAAAAAGTTAGGAGAAGAGGCAAAAGGGAGAGGGAGGGAGGGAGGGAGGGAGGGGCGCAGGCAACAGGCATCTGTTTCCACGGCAACAAGCACCTCGCCCACGGCGGCAAACTTCCCGCTCTGCCGAGACAGGGAGAGAAGGGTGGGGTTCTTCTGAGGCTGCCGACGGAGAGAAGAATCCCAACCAAATGCACCCCCCCTCCTCATTCCGCCCTCTGTCTCATTAGTTTAGATTTTCTCCCTGTGTGTCTTTCTTTTTTTTTGTCTTCAAATTCAATTTTCCTTTTTTCTTCCTCTTTTCCTCCTCTAACTCTCCCCCTCTTCCTGGCTCAAAGCCTCAACTCCGTCGGATGCTGCGCAGCTCTCTGCTGCCCCCTGTGGACCGCCAGGATCCAAAAACCACCTCACAGCTCTTTGTCTCTTCGGCTCATCACTCCCCTCGACGTCTCGTTAAACCTCAATGTACAATCAGATTTTATGTCATCATATCGTTCTTAATTTTAAGGTTTCGACCCGTTTTAAAAGAGCGGTTTGTCTTTAAAAAAGGAAAAAAATGTAATATACCTTTTTAAAATCTGGCTGTTTGTAAAAGACGCTTTTTTGCAAGACTTAGAACAGTTTTTTATTTTTTTTTTTCTCCTGGTAACTCTCTCGCTGGGCCCGAGTAACAAGGACCAGAGTTTGATGCCGACACATTTGGCCTTTTCACTCCATCTCCATCTTCTGCGCCCTCTCGCTTTCCAAGTTCATTTTCCCCTCTGTCACAGACAGACTCTCAGTCCAACAGGAAAACCTGACTACCCAGCATGAGGGACATCACAGCCCATGCTGTCTCAGTATGAGAACTCGCATCCAGCCGGGCTCCGCCGCCCCTCCATGCTGCCTCACACCGAACTGAAAATGAGGCGGCTCTAGAGGTTTTGTCCTGCAGAAAATATAACTCAATTCTTACAAATGGCGCTTTGCGACAGAAGCTCATTTCTTCTCATTTTTTATATTTTTATGTTGACATCTGCGTCCGTTACCTGAATATTGACTTAAATTAAAGTTGATATGTTATGTTTCAATGGGCTGTCATGTGTATACCACAAGCACAATCCTCAATATCCCCCCTGCAGTTCTGATTAGTTCTTGCACACAAATTAATCGAATAAATTAACATTTCCGCTTTTATTATCCCCCCCTCCAATACTGGTATTTTTATTCTCCTTTGCAGAACGCGCTTAAAAACCCCCACTCGCACACGGCATTCACTCTTGGCGCTAATATGCTACATTTTAGTTAATTGAATTGCTAATAGAGAGGCTCTTAACCTCGCATTTTGACAAGTGCTCGGCGAGTTAAAAAAAAAAAAAAAAAAGTAAATTCAACATGCCTACGAATTAGTTTATTACTAAGCTGTAGATATTCCCATTAAGATAAGTGGCAGGAGCCTGCGTGGTGCCAGGGTTTGGATTGGAGAAGCAGGGTTAGACAGATGTTGAGTGAGTGTAAAAACGCTGGAAAGCAAGCAGCGGAAGCTTCAGATGTCGGCTCTGGAGTTCTGGGGATTTCAGCTTAGCCGGTCAGAAAAGCGTCCGCCGTTTCCTCGGACGTACGCCTTTAAACGGTGCGAGCTGTGAGTTGGACTGGCTTTCCGCTGAGGCTAAAGTCTTTGAGTGGAGTTTTGAAGGTGGCTAACTACCCTTTTGCCGGGGGTGATGCTACCGTAAAATTAGAAGGCACTCGTTTTTCATGCCAAGGTCGATACTCACTCCAGGTCTAAATTCCTCCTTTTTTACCCCCCCCCCCCTCTTTTTCTCTCTCTTTCCCCCTCCCCCTCCCCTGTGTGTGTGTGTGTGTGTGTGTGTGTGTGGTTGTGTGTGATTGAGGACTCGCTTTCCACTCTCCTTCATCCTCTTTCCTGCCACCTAACGGTCTTTTATTATGGAGGTATTTGGCTGCCCGTTCCCCCGTCCACTCCTCTGTCCCCACCTGCCTTTTACCTCGTGTGTCCCTTCTCCTTTCCTTGTCGGCAGCCCCCCCCCCCCCCCCCTTCATTCCTCATCTTCCATCATTTCCATCTTATCTTCACCCTTCCCGTTCCCTTCCATTTTTCACTGATGGTATTAGTTTTCCCCCACTTTCTTTCCCCTCTCCTGTCATGCTCTCCATCCAAAGGCTGTGAGAAGCAGTGTTTGGCCAGAATGAATGGGAGCTATTTAAGCTGCGGGCAGGTCCATTCGGTGTGTGTTCGTGTTTGTGTGTGTGTGTGTGTGCTGCCTGAAAGAGTAAGACCGTGGGTGTTTTGACAACTTGGGATGTTTGTATTTTGGCAGTGTCCCTATGGGGTTTTTCCTGCTCTAGCAAGTCCAGTAAACTCCTGTAAGTCAGCTGTAACTGTAACATCATTCCACAGCACACGGATTGCCAAAAAAAGGGAATGTTCATTGTTAAAATGATCTTTTTTTTCTCTCTGTTTATTCATTTTTAGTCCTCCGAAGGCCCCTGTGATAGTTTCTGGAGTGGTTACAAAGGTAAGATACCCGCCTCACCTCCCAAGCAGAGTGTAATTTAGCATCATGAAGAAATGAAAACTCAGAGCAGAATTCTACAGGAAGCAGAGCTGAAAACCAAGAGGGAGATGAGACAAAGCATGTGCTGAAGTACGATTAGGGCTTTGTTTATCTTTCACACGAGTCGGTATCACATTAAAAAAAATAGACAAACACCACTGCTTTGGTCATCAGATTACAAAATTGAAACTTTAAAAAAAGTTGTTTTTTTTCCCCCCACTTTGCCTGCACATCTCTCCGTGTGTGTGTTTGCTCGCCTACAGGCTCCATTACTGGCATGTGTGTGCATGTGTCTGATCAGACTATGTGAAAAAAAAAAAAAATGTTGGTGATATCAGAGGGTTGCAGGCTTCCCTTTTTTTTTCCACTCATTGTCGGCTTGCTTTAAGATTCATCCTGTATCAACGCCATCAAACCCAAAGGCTAGCAGATCGCTGAGGACAGAAGCCCTTTTTGGAGCTAAGCGAAGCCTTTGATGGCGCGTGTGTGTGTGGGAAGATGCCTATTCTGTTGTGCTGCTTGCTGTTTTGGTTTTGTGGATTCTTACCTCATTTGTATACATGGATATATAGATTTTCTTAACAAAAACATAAACCTGAGTCGATGAGATGGTAGGTTTTTTTTAATCCAGTTTAGTGTTTCACTTTGTTTTATTCTGGCCCACATGTTTGCAGCAGCTGGACAAAGATAGTTGAAAGAAGATTTGAGCTTCAGAAGAGAGAAGGAGGGCAATCGGGGGTCAATGCTATCCACATGTCTTTACAGTCGTGGAACTGACCTCGAATGAAAGGAGGAGAATACATACATACATTATGTGCTCACCTTCTCTCTCTCACACACACACACGCGCACACACACACTGGAAAACTATCACACAGCTGAATGTACAGTACAAAACTAACACTCACATACAGAGAGGATTAGGGTCAAGCAAGGATGGGATGGGGGAATGGAGTTCAACCAGAGGCTCAGAGAAAGCGTGTTGTAGCGGGGCAGGGCCAGATTAAAGAGGTGGCGGTTGTATAACTTCATCCACGTCGAGGGCCCCAAAAAAACCGAGCCACATTTAAATTTTTTTAATATTTACGATCCAGTCGTACACACGAGACGCCATTAGGAGAAACAACTTGAATAAGTACTGCCATTAGTATTTGAAATTGAATAATTCAAATGTTCAGTAACCCACTCAGTCATGCATAATGCAATGTGTGCCTTTCATACTGTCTTTAAGCACTTTATTTCCCAGCTCTAATCAGTTAATCCATGCAACAGCGCATGCAGAGATTAAGAGCGCACACTTCTTTTAGTGGGGAAAATTTTAGCTTGACACACGATGTTAAGCAGCGAGAAACCCAAAGGGGAGGACTGAATGAATGGAGAGCAGCGGAGAGGGGAAAAATGAAAGAACTGAGGGAAGGGTTCGAGATGGAGCTGATAGATGTTTTTTTAAATCTGTATCTCCATACTTCCTTTTAAACAGAAGTAAAGCAGCTTCGTTCCTTCTGTTTTTTGTGTTATAGAGGTAGGTTGTCCAGAAATTCCTTGGGAATGTTGTTGATCAGATGAGAGGAGTAAAAGGTGTTTCTTAAAATACACACTGTCCTCTGGAGATGACACACACATGGAGGTTTCCCACAGATTAACACTTCAGTTATATTCCATTATCACTCAGTAATGCGAAAAGGGACAGTTTTATTTATAATAAAAAAGATATATTGTCCACTTTTCATTGTTTTTTTATCTGCTATATGCTTAAGTTGGTTTAATATAACTTATATTATATTTATAAATATATATATGTATTTTTTAGGCAGAATTATTCTCCGTTGGAAACAAGGTGGTGACTGATATTTAATAATTGAGTCTTTTCTGCTCAGGGGGATAAGGACTTCACACCGGCAGCTGCCCAAGTGGCACACCATAAACCCCAGCCCGGGGTCCCCAAGCTGCCCCCCGCCCAACACCTCAACCAGCACATCCACCAGCCCCGCAAATGAAGCAGCCAGCAGCCTCCCACGGCTCTGCCCACCTCACCACTGGCCTTCCCCACGGAACACATACCATCAAGACGGTCCCCCACCAGGCACAGACCTACGCTAAAAGAATTCTAATTTAATTTTTTATTGCTGTACATTATCAAGAAATGTGTCGCCAACAAATCACAACAACCCTTTTGTTTAAAAAAAAGAAACATAATCCCACGGTTGATATCCTGTGGCATTCCACCTTAACTGTCATGGCCTCCACCGTGTACAGGTTGCTTTGACGGGTCAACGCTATTCAATTCAGATAAACGGGTTGAGAACCTTTTTTTAAATAAATTGGTTCTCCTTTAAGCAATATATATATAAGCAGATAAACTGTTCACAGATCTGATTCTGTTAATGGGGGGGGAGTGGTCCCACATCCAGCCAATCACAGCAACCTATTGCAACATGCCAATTAAACCAATAAGTTACCTTCCGGTGATGCGTCCCAGCTCCGGTCCTCCTGGTTCTTTAGGTTTACACAGACCTAAAGAACCAGTCAACAAGTCTCAAGTCTGGCTTTGTTTACCACCTCAGGCCAAAAAGACCGGAAAGCGGAAATTTTGAATCAGTTTTGACTCTCTACGTTTACCTCTGCGCTGAAGGTTCAACTTGAAGCAGAGAAAGTTGAGTAAGCAAATTACTGTAAATGACAGCTTTAACCAATCAGAGGTCCAAGTGAGGGGTTTACCTATAGTGTTTTATTTCACTCTGCCAGCCAATTGTAACAACACATTAATTTTTTTTTCAGTGGTAAACATCCCTGTCAGAAAGGAAATCAGAGATAGTTTATATCATAGATATTATGGTATATAAGTGGCTTCTTCAGCGTTCTTTAGATTATAGCCGTCAAACATCAATCAGAAGTTGATATAGCTGTTCAGGTTATTCCGTTGACTCGGTTGTTACTGTTCCTTTGCTTTTAAGTCTTACCATGTAATGCCTTGGCTTTAACAACTACTTTGAAATGGGTTTTTAATGCAAACTCCGGTCATCTCCGGGATGCTTTGTGTTTGCATTAAACTTGCCCTGAATATAAGGAGAATAGCAGGAAAGGGAGCAAATGAACTGAACTATAACAACATTCCAGACAAATACGAATGAGTACTAAGATGTCGTCCACTGTACCAAATGTCAGTCTGCAAAGCGCACACTTCCATGTGCTCTCATACATGCATACATATTTTTATGTAATATGGCTTTTTGCTTATCATAGATCTTTACAGGAACCTCAAATTCGGATTTATTTTCACCTAAAATCAACACAAATAAAGACATACCTTGCCAATCAGCCATCTCTTACACTCAAGTGAGGTGAAGTAACACTAATGTTCAGGCTTCCAGGAGAGAAAATAATGTCTTATAAAGAAGGAATCCTTTTTTGTGTTTATGTGATTACTTTGAAAATTATTTCATGTTGTTCATCTGTTCTTTTTCTTGATCATTAGCTTGAATTGTTAAAAAAAGAGAGAATATTTAGTCTTAAAAGTGGACATGGGTATTAGGTGTGGTTGTCATAGTAAATAAAGATATTTGTTATCTTGAAACATGCCTTCAAATTGTTTTTTTATACTGGTCGACGTTACAATAATCCAATCAAAACCTTCCCGAGTAGATCACAGGAAAGATGAATGACCAAGTTGAGATATTGGTACTCTGCAAAAGAAAAAAGGAGAAATGTTCAACTAGTTCCTCTTGACGGATACTCCCTCTGGTTTCTTACGCTGAGCCTCTGAGCATCACACAGTGAATTAGCACCCTGCGCTTGGGGATTAGGGCTCAGGTGGCACTCTGAAATGAAACCGAAGCAGCTCTCCCTGAGCTGTCTGCTCGCTCCTGGAACACACATGCACAGCCCGCGCTGGCTGTTCGTGTGTGTAATACATCTTTACTCGAGCATCTGCAGCCAGGTGTTCTGTCGGCTTATGTTAGCCCAGAAAAACAGGCAGGGCAGAGCTTAGTTGGTATGAGCCTCAGTAAGCAAGCTGAATCTCCCCATTAAAGAGGACACAGTCTCCTCCGCTCACTCATCTCCTGCCATGCCTTATTACACTGTGGAAGTCCAAAACGAAAGTGAGACGGTAATCAAAAGTTTACTTCCACCCAGCTCGGGCGTATGTAGCTGTTACAGGGTGAAACAGGGGCAGTGAATTGAATTGGAACAATTGTTTACACATACTACATTTGGATTAAATGAGACAGGATATGTATTTACATTCTGGGAACAGCGCAGATGTTTGTGAACAAAGCAGAAATGGCTATTATCCTAAAACATGGCGGTTTATGAATTTGAGCCGATATCTGTCTTTTATCCCCTATCTGTTTACTGTATGTCAGATATTTTAGTTTCCCATCTAACGTCCTAAAATCAAACATGCTGCAAGGTTGAAATCTAATTCGAACTAGCTTCAGCACCAAGTAATTCCCATTTAGACGCACTTTATTATATTAGTCCTGAGTCTACACCACCAGCTGTTGGCCATATGCTGCTCTGCAACACTAAAACTGGCTCCTGCAAGTTGACACCAGTTCTCTGTTTGTGGTCAGTTTGATAAGACAGCTGGGCCAAACTGACCAAGTTATAGTGACATTTTGACTCCAGTTTGACCTCGGTCCTGTCAAACATCAATTATCGTGTGGTATACCTGGAACAGCACATAAAAAGGATGTTTTTTTTTTGTTGTAAATGTGTAACAAAGCAGTGGCTCTAATGGACCTTTTGGTTTGATGCAAGATCGATGAAAGTTCAGCTTTACTTGTGTCAGATGCAATAGTTCAGATGCTGATTTAGTTGAGACACCCGATTATTCATTAATTTCATTTAAAAAAAAGCTTTAATAGATCATGGTTTCTAATTGTAAAGAGCAGCAAATAAATTGTCCTAAAAGGATACTCTCTTTGTTATTCTAAAAATCTAAATAATAATAATAGTCACATAGTTCCTAAAGGATATTTTTTTAAAACAGATGTCTGTTCAGTAGAAAGTTAATCTTATATTGAAAGTTACTCCAAAATTGTACACTTAATATTTAATTTCCTCTTACATTATTAAAAAAAAAGTTAAGTCATTATAAGAGGTAATGATAAATCACAATGTGTTTTAACTTCATGTTTTACCTCTTTTCTCTGAATAAGTTATTATTTTGTTATGGTATCATAGACCAATTGTTTATATTTGTTTTGACTCTAAAAGTAGAGAAGAGCACATCCTTTATGTATTTGACGTTGTCAGGAATAAGTCTTGTTTAACATGCAGGTAACTTCCAGTGACGTTGGAAAAGGGAATAGGTGTGAAAATGTGATTTTTTGTAATCTTCTTGGAATATTCCTTTGTATTCTACTAAAGATGATGTTGCACGCATGCTAATGAATCATTAAGTACCGTACCAAAACCGAGCAGCAGAGGGCCCCGCTCAGGAGTACCCCTCAATTTGACAGGTTTGTGTCCAGTACTGGGCAGTAGAAGCAGGCCGCTCTGTTTAAATCTGACCCTGTGGCATGGCAGCATGATGCAATAACTGACACTACGTCAGCCTGTTTATTTGGCTACTTTTAACATTTCTGTGAGAGATTTGGGCCGTGGGGGCGATGGTGGGAGGAGGAGTGGATAACGAAATGCTGACTAAGCCCGGGGCAGCTTTATAATCCCACGTTGCAATCTAAGCCAACAGCTGTTTGAGCCTCGATGACCTAAATATAATCTGATGCATTCAGGGGCTGATGCATTCTGTCTCACTGCCTTCTACACGGGGCACAAACGCACCGTCTGAGCAGGGAATCCTGCTGTAATGAAAGCGGGATGCACAAGCCACTCAACAGCTCGACGGGACTACCAATGAATACGGTTTTTATTCAGGCTCGGAAATACCTGGACACCTCCAGTTCCCTGTTAATGGTGATACTGTAAAGCCTTTACTGTCATACACGATATTTTCTCTCAGTTTGTGGAGCGTAGAGTTTTCGGTAAATGTGCAGTCTGCTCGTCTTTCGTCACATTCGCACGATTTCCTCCAGGCAACGTCTAAGCACATTGCCACTCTGAAGTCAGTGAAGTTTATCTGAAGAAACCGTTTGGCAGTGCAGAGCCCTTGTAACCCCCTTAGCAACTCATCACCATGTATATTAGATACACACTCTTGGATAGCTCTTAAACTGCAATCGCCATGTGGAGTGCAGACCGTGAAATTGTCCTCTCAAAATTCCAGACAATGTTACATCACTGCCCTCCCCATGGCTCTGTGTATTTAAATCCTGGTTATTTTTTTTTACCCATTACCTTAACAGTTTTAACCCAGCTCTTGCTCTACAATGGGCGCACAGTTTTTCATTTGAGCTTCCACAAGCCTGGGGTTGCTACTTAGGCATTAGTCTTCCTACCAAACTGACCTTGGCTCGGCTCGGCCTCTCAAAAGTTCAATCAAGAGACTACATCGCTTTTCGTACTGGACTAATCACACAGCCACAATGCTAATGTCTCTTGCTGATTGGGGTTTCCTTCAGGACTGACTGGAAGCACAATGTGGCTGAGGCACAGTCACTGGGGGCAAAGGGGTTTTTCCTTCACATCATCCATGCCTTGGATGTGCCAAAATTGCGTAAAAGCTTATCGCTCGTTAAAAAAAATGGTCTTAAATATTAATTTCTTTGTTTTAATGTAAACATTTAATTAGAGAAATTTTGCCCAGTGGGGTAATATTATCTTTTCTTTTTTGACTCGAACAGAAAAACTAAAAAACAACAGTTTACATGTCAGAATGTGGAGAAGAAAAAAAAGGAAACCCATGTCGAATTACAAAAATATCATTAATAAGCATTTACATCTCTACTATAAAATATTTCTGAATTTATGCAAAATACATTCAGGCTTTTTTTTTAGTTTATAGCAAAAGAAGCTTTCTATAAAAAATAAACCTGGCAATTGCCATTCATCTTTGTATTTAGCTTTTTCAGCCAAAACGTACTATAAAAAATATTTTCCACAATGTTCTCTATGAATGGCTTCCACTTTCTTATGGGTAGAGAGTGACATATCTATTGGCTGTGGCAACAGAGAGAGTGTTTGTTATTTGAATTCTGTCCCATTTAGAAAATCTAGAGCTTAAACCGTGGTCCCTGCTACATCTTAAAAAGCAATAAATATCAGAAATAAATAATCTAGAAACATTTCAAGTATTAAAGTATTAGCTGTTGGACTTCAGAAAAGACACAAATCATTTTGTGGTGGAGCTGTCACAGACGTGGCGGCCGTTTTTAGGGGCCAGCCAGCACCCCGATCTCACTAAATTTCAACCTTCTGCTCATGTTAGGAACTATGATGGTAATTCGCAGTGCCCCCTGAGCACAGACATAACAGCCAGATCTCTTTGTCCCCATGGCTTGTTGGGTTTTAGTTGTTTATGACGAACAATAAATTCCCTGAGGTAATTATATCATTTCCTTTTCCCAGTTGCGATGTGTCTCTTAGTTACTGCCTCCAGCCTCTTCCTCTCAGCCTCCTCTGCTTTCCTTCGCTCTTCTTTGAGTTCCTTGTACCTCCACTTGGGGATCTGCAGCAGGTTGCCCCCTCCGTCTTTGTTGCTGCTCTTCCTTCGGATCTTTTCGGGTTCGTAAGTGGACGGGGGGGCTTTGGACACCCTGACTTTGGGGATGCTGAAGCCCGGCCTGACGCTGCTCCTCCTCAGCACCATGTGCACGGGCAGCAGGCTGGTTCTCCGCAGGTCCATGACTTGGTTGTAAGCCACCATGCCCAGACTGGAGCTCCTGTTCCGAGGCAACGTTCGCTGCACCTGAAGGCTGGCTCGCCGGTCCTCGGAATTCTTGGCCACCAGAGTGATCCTGGAGTTCTGGAAGAGTTTGAGGTGGCTGTCCATCCTCTCGGGGTTGGTTGAGCGGAGCTCCTTGGCGCGATGCTGGCGAATGATCTCTGGTACTGCATAGCGCCGTTTGCCAACGCTTGGGGGACTGTCGGGACACACCTGAAACAAAACAGCATCTGATTGGTATTGGTCACTGAAGGAATGATTAAAATGCTTCACAACATACAAAAGTTAAAGCTTGAAAGTAAAGGTACCCCCAAACACCGTCCAACCTTCAACTTGGCTCGTCTTCCCTAGTGCCACTTGATGGCATCCAAAATGACATGTATTTGTTACCATATCATGCCTGACATGTTCCCTCTCACTCAGCACCTGATGTGACTGCTTCTAATATTGGTGCAAAGGCACTTACATGCACATAGACAGCAAAACGATTGTAATCCCATACAGACATAATAATGCTAAGACCAGCCGTGACAGTCCTCGATGTTTTCTTCTTCTTATAAAGAAGCATTGCTAGCGCGCTCCTTTTTGTGAAGTACCATTATTGAATAACATGCTCATCTAGGCTTAAATAAAAAGGCTGAAATGATAATTTCCTTTGGTTGTTAGGAACACAGACTTTGCTGATAAAAATGTATTAGTGCCCCATCCATTCCTTAAAGTGTTATTGCTCCAATGCAAACACTGGATGAATGTAGAGGACAGCAGACACTTTCAAATTCTTCCTTTTCATATGCTCATATGTGAAATCATTGCTATTTCTTATCTCAGCTTTAAAATGATCCCTCCTTATTTTCAGTGTGTGAAAGAAAATTATGGATTGGGTTTGATACATAAAACATTTCACGTACTTATTAAAGAATGAATAGATACGAGCTGGATAAACATAATCTAATGATGAATTACTCACAGAGTGGCACGCTATAGCGATGGCGGGGCTCCTCATGGCAGTCGTAACTGCCACCATGTGGTCAATAACCCCCTGGTCCTCTGGATTGGTGACGTTAGCGATGTTGAAGACATTTCGGACAGTGTCCGACAGGCGCTGCAGACACCCACGGGGCTCTTGGGCTCTGGCCACCAGGGAGGCCAGCGGAGGCCACTCGAGACTGGAAGCAGAGAGTTTGATTTCCTCACTTAAAGCTTTATAGCTTTTTCTCATGACCATTGTTTAATACACTCATGTTTTATGTTTTCTCTGAAGAATGTGACTCAGTGCAGAAGATGTCATAAAAAGACTGTCTGTTAGGATTTTGTCTTAAAAGTCAAGGTAGTTCATTTTTTACAAAGCTAACTGGAAAATCTTCAACACTTTGATGGATGTTCATTGGATAGCTCTGAAAGAAGATGTTATGAAACTTTTGCAAAATACAGCTCCCTTTAACCCTTCAACATCTACACTTCAGAAAAAAAGAACATTAAAATATTCCTTTGCATTAACATTTCTTTGGAGCAATAACAAACAGAATACTTATTTTTTCACAGATAGCTGAATTGATACTTTATGGTACAAGTGTGACATTTTTCAAATCAAATGTCATAACTCATAACCAGGCATCACATATCTAAACTTAATTTTAGAGCCGGTTTAGGTAAGTACACTTCCTCTAGAGTATCCTATATTACTAGTTCGTACCAACTTCAACTTTGTTCGTGAAAAAAGCAAGTCACAGAAATCTCACTGTTTTATTTTTATCTGTAGGGGAACGTGGATTAGAAAGAGAAAATACAAAGCTTGCTGTGAGTTGTACCTGTATGCATCATTGTACTGGAATGGGCAGGGCCGCTCCATCAGGCGCGCCATCACCCAGGCCGTTTCATAGCGACCGGTAAATGAAGCCCACTCCCTGGCTGTGAAGTTGCGACCACAGTCCCTTGCATCAAGGGAGGCTCCTGGTGGAGCACCCCAAAATAAAGAAAAACATGTACTGTATGTGGTTTTGAACTCCAGGACACCAGTCAGACATAAACAAAGTTGTAAAGGTTCATCTTAAAATATCTAGACGCAAAACCAGAATTTTGATTGTATCATACTGTAACAAAAGAGAAAACAGAGATTTAGGTCACGCCAAATTTGTCAATTATGTCCAGAACTCAGAGATATCTGATGAGATCACCGAGAAACTAATTTAGAACAAGACATATTGAAACAGTATTCTAAAAAATTAGAGGTAACAATCTGATTGTGTGCATGTCACGACCATGTCAGAATTCCTTCACACTGTCAGAATTCTGAGATAACTAATTACAAGTTTTCATCCGAAACTATTTGTTATCATTTAAGAAATATCTCTTCGTTTTCAATTTAGAAAATGATCATTCTTTTAGTCATATTGGATTGGGTGTTTAATAGACTTTTTAGTATTTGCTCTGAGTATGCTTGTTTCCATATACTCTAAAAAGAATGTCTATGTAGCTCTACACGCTTGTCATGATTACACATTTTGCCCACCTGCCATCATGAGAGAGCGCACGCATTCCACCCTGCCCTGCATGGCCGCTTTCATCAGGGCGGTGAAGCCGTGACAGTTCCTTCTCTCAATGTCCAGGCCAGAGAAGTAGTTCAGCAGATAGTTGGTGATCGTTATGTGGCCTTTAACACACAGGTGCAAAGAAATCAGTCACCACATCCATCACATCCCTCACACCCACCCGCTTTTTCCGTTCCTCGTGTGGAAAACTGCGTGGATATACGACACACGGCTAAATGAGCTGCTTGATATGTGTTTAAATGTGTTTTGTCAAAAATATTTTGGCGAGGAAAATCATAATCCATACGGTTGCTCAGACCACTCACACACCACTTCTGTTGCTGAGTGAGTGGTGACAGTGTGTGTTCATCTGTGTCAACGTCTGTGCCAAAGTGTCCATGGTGTCTGTACGAACATGTCTCACACAGCGTCGCACTCTGCCACAGCCCGCACGTGTGTGTGTACACAAACTGGTCAGTTTCTGCACATTTGCACGTTACCTGCTTGTGCAGCTGTGATCAGAGCGGTGTTTCCCTCGCTGTCCTGCCAGTTGACGTCCAGGTGTGGGCACTGAGACAGCGCGATGATGACATCCACAAAACCTTGGTAGCACGCAACCAGCAGCCCTGTCTGAGACAAAAATCATTTTAAAAAATCAAAAAAAGATAGACTCATAAGAGTGGGAAGAGGGAAGTGACAAGCTAAAGGTTAGAATCAGCAAAAGAAAAAATAAAGGCAAAGTATATCCTTAAGGTGCTGACACACAGAAAGCAGTACATCGTGTATACAAAGGGGGACCTGTGTGCAGCTTTCCAAAATACTATAAAGGATTGAACATGGCATCTGTTGTGCTTGTACTCAGGGGAAAGTAAGCTGTCTCAAAACCTGATCTTGATAAGTGTGGATGTTTTTTCCAGCCAGTGTGTTTCCCTGCCACCCATTGCAGTGTATGTCTTTGGACAAGTGTGTGAATGTTAGTCTCGAAATGTGCATTCATGAGCCTGGAAAACTGCAGTCCAAGCACACACTGAATCAAAACAAATAAGCTGACCACCAGAAGTTAGGTCTTTTCAATTGACACACAGTATCATAGAGGCAGTGTTAAACCTGAAATATGAGGATCGAGGGGACATTTCCAAGAGAAGTCTGTTACCATGGTATGTTTATTTTAGTTTTTTTTTAAATGAGAAATCAATTCAATTCAACACTAAAATATGCCAAAATTGACTGCTGGAAGGCAATAAAAAATCATTAAATTTCTTTCACCTCTTTATACCCTTATAGTTATGCTTTGTTCCTCATGCTACATTAAAAAAGAAGGGAAAAAATATGGATAAAAAACAAGCTGAAAATTATCAAAGGAAGGTAAAAATAGGAAATTATCCTTACATTTTCAATTAGTAATGTACTTGAACTTTAAAATGTCAGATGATGGTATGTTGTATGTCCAAGAAACACATTTTTATTCACTCACGCACATATAGTTAATCTTTTTAAAATTTTGAAAGGGTAATGCCTTAATTAACACATATGTTAAACTCAAAGAGATTATATCAATAGTGTCAGACTCTGGGGACTTTAGTTACAGTTCGTGAGGGTACCTTACAGAATGTGAGGGGAATATATAAAAAATTTTCACCTCCAAGTTTCTTCTTTAAACAAAGGTCTTTGTGCAAAGCCAGGTCAAGCCATAAGAAATCCAACTTTTCCAGCTAGAATATTAGTGTTAGTGTTATCGACTTTCGTTAAGTAGTCACAAAATGTTCCACTTTATAAATTCCTTGAGCATAAGTGACCCATGAGCCCGCTTCAGTAACATGATGTTCCCCTCCCACAAGCACTTCCAAAATTAAAATAAAATCTACTGGAGGGTTCCCTCCTGCATAATACTGTTTCTGCCTGAAGCACAGGGTGTCACTGCAACACATTGTTCTTTTAAACACTGGGGTGGAAGTGATAAAACTACTCTGAATCAATTCATGCAGTGACCAAAATATGCTGTGCCATCCAGCATGATTAGGATGCACGAAATCCATTCAAAGTACAAAACAAGAAACTTGTGCTACAGACAATTGGGCCCGATTCAGTGAATATTCTACTTTCAGCAAGTACACTATGAACCATATCCCCTAAGAAAGGATTCAGGTCCTGGTTCAGGTAGGTGTGTAAGGGAAGGACGGAGGGTGGACACAGGACAAGACACACTGGCTGACTCAGCAAACAAACTAATCCAAACAGCAGATAAAACACCTAAGACACCAACCAAACTTGGCTAAAGGCCTGTTAGCCAGTCCGAAAAGGCCCCCTACAAATTCTAAATGGGCCAAGAGTCATTAAGCAGAACCACAAAAACAAGGCCAAACAAGCCCTTATTCACCTGAAATACAAACTGAACAAAGGAGGAGTTGGGCTGTCAGCCAGCTGGTTAAGTAGTCACAATACCGTCAGACTGAGGGCAAAAGTGCACAACAGTTCTGCATAGTAGCTGCCGGACTGCCAGCGAGACATTCACTTACACTGGCACGGCTTCAGATCACGCTTTCTGCGTGGATGCTCTCTCATAGGCTTTGACTTAGTCTCCTTCACAACTTCACAAACACACACACACATCCCTGGCAACCCTCCAGCATTGCTGTGTTGTACTTAAGCGGCATGCCCTGCAGCATGTCTACAGCTATTTCAGCTGCCTGACCAGATCCTCTTTTCAATGTTGATTCTTTTCAAAAAACACACACAAGCACATAAAGGCGATTACTTTCTCTTTTTTTTTTTTTGCATCTTTTTCACACAGATTATTTCCACTCGCCACATTTTTTACCATGAGTTTTAATGTGGCTGCTGGCATCTCTGGCAAGTCAAGGATTTGAAAACTCCAGGTAAAAGCTGGTAAAAAAGTGCTGGGTACATGGAAACCGGGATAACATTAACATTACGTTGTAAACCAGTAATCCTAAAACAGGTCACAACTATTGCTAACTGTGTTCACCCTAAATCTGACAGCTTGTCCAAAGGTTTTCAGAAGAATCATCTTGTTTGCATGCCAAAAAAGACAAAAAACAGAAATAACTTTAGTACAAAATACTTTGAACTGATATGCTTTACTCTAACACCCTAATTTTACATGAACTTTAATCTATAACATAAATGTTGTATAGCATTGGTTATAGCATCTGTGATCAAATTCCACTAAAACTCAACTCAAGCAACTATTTTGTGTCCATTTAAATAAGGTTGTGATATTCCTTTCTCTACCGCCTTAGGTAGAGGGGTTGTATACCCCAGCAAGGGGACAGTCAGCCATATAATTCAGTAATATTTGAGCTGTTAGTATTTGTTTTTAGCAATCGTGAACTAAGATATAAGAAATATGAGCACAAGACTCCGAAAATCTGTTGCACGCACAGGTGTCTTTGTTACGGTTTCTGGATTTTTGGATTTTTCTCTGTTTATTTTCTTTTCTGTTATTTTTCCTGTGTCGTTTCACTAATGGCTTAAATTAGGGTTTATTCTGTTTCCGTTTTTCTTTTCTGCTCTGTGCTCCTCGCATTTTCCATTCCATTATTTCTTGGTAATTTACTTTGTCCTTGTGTGCTCCTAATTTCTTTTAACTCTGTGTTGTTGTTTTGTTCTTTTATTTGAGTTTCTATGATTTATTTAGTTGTTGATTATGCTCTACTCTATCTTCTAATTTGACATTTTATTTGACCTGATATGTATTTATTCTTACTCTAGTGTCGTTTCTCCTAGTTATCTGCAGGTCTCCTGTTCTGGTCCTCAGCTCCACTGCACACCTTTCTCTGACTTTATCAGCAGCCACCTCCTCATTCCTTCCCCTCAGTATACAGGCCGCTTTGCTAAGATCACTCCTTTTCAGATCCTTGCTGTTATGATCCACCTTCCATTCCCTATAGTCTGCTCTCTTTTTTTGCCTTAAAGAACCCTCCTGTTAAGTTTTAATTTGCTTCCCGTCAGTGTTTCCACATTTGAGTTCTCTCTTTACAAATCATTACAGTTTTTTTTCAATTCCTTCTAAATCTGAATCTTCGTTCAGTTTTAAGAAATCGTGAAACTGCAAGTCAGGTGCTTCTCTTGGAAATAAATTCATGCACATACACAACGTGGAGACCAGACTAATTCTTGGCCCATACAGACGCAAACCAACTGACACACAGAGATGCACACACTAAGTAATCTGGGGACTATCCAGAGCTTGGAATAGAAAGGCTTAGCCTTATCAGTCCGAATGACACGGAGTAAGGGGGAGGGAGAGATGTCCCAATCTATCAACGTATAATGTGTATGTTAAACTGGAAGAAACGATACCACAGACACTGGAATATTCATTATAATGCTAAACGTGTGTATTTTACACGAAACATGTATCAGTATCCTTGCCAACATGCATCTTTTGATAAGCACTCTTTAACTATCTGACTACCCCAGCAAAGATAATCTGGGTATTATATACTGTACATGGATTTAGAGTCCATGGTTAAAACAAAAAAAAAAGGTCTCTCAAAGACTCTGAACAATCACAGTGCCCCTGCTTTGCTCACCAGTGTAACTCGTCAAGTAAAAAAGTGCCCGTATTGAGTCTATTAATAGCATATGTATAAGATAAGCAACATTATAAAGATGCCATGTAAGTGTGGACTGTTCATTCTAACAAACTGAAAGTACATCATGATCAATAATCAATGTAAATGGAACCAATTAGATATTGATCCTATTGCCGCTAACCCAAACTAATCATGTGATGAAGCTTTATCTTTTAGTGCATGAAAGCATTGCAAGTTTGCCCCTTTTTTTTTGTAGAGAAACCAGGACTGTCTGTAATGATGCAGAGGTTTTCGGCTCATCTCTGACAGAGACCCGCTGTTTTTGTCAGGCAGCAGAAAAGTGCAAGCTGTCGAACTCATTTAACATTTTACACAACATCTTTCCATTCGGGAACACTAATGCACGTGCAGGCATTAGTTAGATCCAATCTCGATCACGTAAGCAGCTCCACTGGCACGGATACGCTTGCCCCTGTTTCTGCCGATACACCCCCCCTCACCCTCTCCCCAATTTAAACGTCTCTCTGTCTGCAGCTGAGCTTTCACGCGGCTGTATCAAATCAGATGTGTATGACTGTCGCTTTGATTTTTCCACTTGTCTGTATTTGCTAAGCGCGTTGTTCTTGTTACCATCTGCAGTGGCAGATTTCTCTTTCCGCCTGCCTATGCCTCATTTACTCTCTCTGCCTGTTGGCCAGTTGGTCGATCCGTGTGTTAGTCAGATGATCTTTCAGTTTGTCTGACACACTGTGCTGACTTTGTTGGCCGCTATAGCTCGACAGGCACATCTCCCAGGACCTGGTTTGTCACATAATCCCAGCCTAATAAAAAGAGAAACTGTGTTTTACCGGCGGGGAGAGGCCGTGTTTGTGTCTTGTTAACAGAGAGGGTGTTAGCAGTCAGCCTTGCGGCCCTATGTCATGTGATAGCATTCTATGTTTGTGCGCCACCTTCGATTGATAACAAACATGAAAACTGAATTCAGCTCCGTGCAGAGAGCATGCAATCTTAAACAGGATCATTACAGGTTGTTTTGAAGCGATACCGTACATACCTAATAATCAACGATAAATCAGGTTGCCATGCATGTATAAAGCACATGATGGTGCAACTCAATTGCTTTTGAAAGGCTGAACTAAAACACATAAGTTTGTCAGTAAATCTGAACCTATTTACATCCATCACAACATTCTACAAAAAAAAGGATATTTTGTTGATGGAAAAGTTTCATAAATAAGTATACTGCAAAACATTACCTGAAGAACTCTATTTTGGGATTTTCACAGTTTGTGTTAATCAAATTTTTGCATTCCTTAAGTTCCTTAAAATTCTTTGTCTTCACGACAGAATATAGCTGTATACTAACTACATTTTTATGTTATCTTAATAACACCATTACTGCATCACACGATAAAAACAAACTTAATTTTCTTTTCTATATTTGTTTGTTCTGTATTTCCGTTATTGGAAGTTTTATGTGTTTTTAAAAAAAAATTATTGGGCGTATCATTGCATTTGCCACTCTTTTCATACTTGGATTTTAAGTGCACTGTCAAAGTTTCAATCACAAGTGTAAATAGCGCAAGTATAATTTAATTTGACCATGTCAGAAAGATCAGACCCCATTGGGAGGTTGTCATGGCTGCTCAGACCTTTTTAGTGGCTCGGTACAATTGTAAAATGGCTTTGTGTATGAAACTTTCATTCTGACTTTTATGTGTCACAGTTGTTGGCTCATCTGGGGCACACTGACAAAAGACACAATCTGCATTGTTTTTAGCAAGCCTTCTTTCATTTTGTGGGACAGCTGCCTTAAAACACAAGCTTTTGGGTTTCGGACACTGACATGATGGATGTTTACTTTCATATTGTGTGGGAATAAGATCCGATCACATGCAGTAAAGATGCATTTAGAAACATTATCCGCCGGCAACGTTGAACTGAACATTGGAGATTTCTATTAGTGACTGGTCATGTTTGTACTTAAAAGTTTCAAAATTTGATTTGTTTTCCTCCAAAATAGTTGTTCCTAAATGCAATACTTACAAACACCATCCATAGACTCTTTTGATTCCTAAGACGAGCAAATACGGAAAATTCTCTTAGAACATGTGAATCAGTAAACAGGAAATAATGCTTGCTGCATGCGTTCATGTCCAAACCTGTAACACCCTTCATTGTCGTGCGCATCAGCCAGAATGGCTGCTATATTAGGATGTTGACATCTGCACAAGGATGTTTCCTCTGGATGTGCTGCATAACCCACATTGTGTTTCAGGGTATGTGCATGCGCTCAAGGTCACAGGAAACGACGATGTAAATGGTGAGCTGCACATGCACACGTCCTACTTACCTCCATAAACAAGTTCATTCTCTTTCTCCTCCTGACTCCCCCACACACACACTGCCACTTTAGCCCAACCTCAATTCACAACTTATATATGTCTACCTACCCTCATCAGTTGGTCCAGGAAGGGTGAAAGTTCATTCCAGAAATAAACAAGTCCCAAGATACACTTGCATGTGTCTTGGAGTACTTTTGAAACCAGTTTAAGTGCCTCTGCCCCCTTGACCTAAATGTCTCAGCTTGCCTGCACTGCATTCATGTTGTAAAGTCATAATGAGCAGAGATAAACACATACTGTTTACCATACTGTTTAGTCTTTGAGAAGTAAATACAAAGAATTTTTAGCAAAGAGAGACATTGAGAGAGATGTGGTGCTGGACAGATGTGGAGAAAATGAAGAATAAATACATAGTAATAAAAGGAGTTACTAGATGAGATTGTCAAGCGGAGCACGATGATGGGATTTGTCTCGTAACAACGCTGCTGATGGCAATCTGATGACTAAGACAGAAAGCTAACCTGACCCCACGAACCAGATGGCATGTTTCATAGACCCATGGGGGAGTCCTCTTAAAAAACGGTACACGCAAGCGCCTTTCAAAAGACAGTAAGCAGCTGAGTGGATGAAGCATCTGTCTGGCACAATAGAACTCCAGCCAACGATGTCAACAAAGTTCTGTAAAGTGGAGCCAAATGGAGTCCCGGCAGCCAGTGCTGACAGGCCCCATGGTTGTCCAAACACATAAAAAAATGCCCTTTCATTCAAACTCTAGCTGTTGACAGTACAAAACCATATCCCTAACCCTAACCCCTTTCCCTAACAATGTGGAACTGCCAAGGTAATAATTTGGTTCGGGTTTGTTTGTTTTTTCTTACACGTTTCTGTTGAAAAAAATAAAAGAAACATTCGGATTGCACGCTGACCTGACCAATAACTGAGTGAAAACATATAAAACATGTATGACTTCCAGACTGAAGTGACACCACCACAAATACACAACCAGCAACCTTTCTCATCCAGTTGAATAGCTGTCACTGACAGTGAGTTGCTACCTACTTTCCACATGACATACAGAGGTCAGAGCAGATGCTTGTCAAAGGCCTGGACGGTAAATAAGCCAATGCAACAGGCTTAGGCTCAATTATATCAACACCATCCTAGTGTGATGCTCTTTAACTACACAACTCTGAATGGCCGAACAGGATGAATGCCTGAGGATGTGCATCACTTTAAAAAGCCTACAATTAAATACAAAGAGCTCCAAAGAACCGTATCCATGTGGTAGGCTTTGAATGAGCTTCATAATTGAAGAATGCAGTAAATAAATTAGCTAACCCTTTTCACACCTTGCAACAACTGTTACCAGAGTTACTTTAGTGAAGTTCCAGGCGGAACTTCGCAAGTTTTTTTGCACTACATACCCTGTTGTTCCTGTCAGCTTCTTTGACCTCCTCCTCTCTCACGCCGTGCCGTATCATTATCCGGACGATAGCCGCGTTGTTGGTGCAGCACGCCCGGAAAAACGACAGCGGCTGCGGGCTCTCCGGAGACGGGGTGCGCTCCGAGTCCGCGAACGCATCATCCGGCGGGTAGAAGGAGTCGTCCGAGGCGATGCTCCGACAGTCGTCCAAGTCCTCGAAGTCAACTTCTTCGAAGTCGTCGCAGTCTTCCTCGCTCGCTTCGTCCTCCTCATCCTCCTCCTCCTCCTCGCACGAGCCCAGGTAGTCCTCCTCGGAGTTGGACGGGGGCTCCTCGGTTATCGTGGGGTGAACGTGGCCGACGACCGCCCCGAGTTTGCTCTGCTGTTGGAGCTGCTTGACGCGGACCGACGAGGCGCCTCCTCCGTCTCTGTCGTCCGTGATAAGCACCATCTAACCCCCGAGCCCAGGGCACCGTCCGCGGGGGTTAGGAGTGCAGCGAGGCGCGGGGCGTTCGAGCATGGGACCGCCGGCCAACTGTCCGGGACAACAACAAGCAAACTACACTCAGAGCGCAAAAAAACAAAAAATAAAAAAAAGTTACCCAGCCTACATCACATATGAAACCGCACAAACTCGCTGACCACGCGTATCGTAACGGGACATGTCGCGGGAAGCTTCGGTCTGACCATCGGTCATCTTTCCATGGGAGTCGTTGTAGTGTCCGGATGAGCCTCAAACGCCCCCCAAGCAGTGAGATTAACGGTCGTTTAGTCGGAGTCGTTCGTTTTCGAAAGCTGATGAATGACCGGACAGAATCTGGGAATTTTTTTTTTCTTTTTCTTTTTTTTTTTTTAAAGGGGGTTTCACAGCTGAATGTAAAAGTGCGCACACGACAGTCCCATGCTGGGCGGGGAGACTGTTAACCCATAGTCAACTAATCCGATTACACCCGACCGGGAGCGCTCAGAGCGCGCGCGTGTAGGGCTGTTTTCTAGTAAGACATTAATCCTTCAGCTGGACCCGAGCCTGTAGACAACGGGTTTTTCTTTTTTTCTTTTTTTTACTGTATTCTTGCTGGGTTTTTTCTCGTGTCATCTCGTTAATTTTGAATTAAGTCTCCTTTTTTGCAGTTTGCGAAAGATTATTTCTCTATGATGCATCATCCCCTGACTAAACGATGAATTGGCCTGTGTTGTCTATTAATAATTGCGTTTTCACTTGATGCTCCAGAATAGATGTTGCAGTGTCATGAGTTAAATCCGCTTCAAGCACAACCAAAAAAAAAAAAAGCAATTCCCTCACAAGCACGGACATGTCAGAACCAGATTTAAAAAAAAAAAAAAAAAGATAATAAAGGTGAAAACAAGCCCGCGAGTGTTTTCCCCAAGAAGAAACATGTGATTTGAAGCAATATTCGAGCTGTGAACCAACAGGGTCATTCCAGGCTAGTGAGGGAAATGGGTTGAAATGAGGCTATAAAGTGATTGGGGCACGTGGCTTACACTTTCCATGATCACATTTGGAGGGATTTGAAATGAGAAGCAGGAAAGTAGCCCAGACACCTCTCCATTTCTCCTGGTATCATGTAAAAAAAAACTGTGTCAGCTTTGAGATGTTTCTCATGACATGGGTTAAACACTGTGTCACAGGGCCCCGATATAAAGTGACCTAACCCAAGTCATATGTAGAAGCTGGCCAGATGTTAGCCTCAAAACAGGAAGATGATGGGTGGGGTTTCACTAATACTAATACTGATACGAAAAAATGAAGAAGTAAAACCGTAGAAAGTCCGCTTTTTGTTTTCTTCTTTGCATTACTAGTAATAATGGCGTCATTTTTTCTGAGCTGATTCTGTTCTGCTGGTGTGTGAGTTACACCCCTGGCAATTAACATGTGCCGATATGAACATGTTTCACCTCAGGCTGGTTTTTCTCATGCGCTGTAAGTTGTACGGAAGCTTTAATTAATATAATATTCGCAAGGAAGATCCCCTTTTATGTCAGTAATTGATAACATCAGTGTGCTGACATCACCTGCTGTGGGGAGGGGGAGGGGGGGTGTTGGAAAGGTCCCACAGCGTATCTCATGATTAGTATACCTTCCTTTGCACCCTGCAGCACAGCCTTCAGCCCCCCCGCGGCTCTCACATCTCCATGGCTTCAGTCTCCGGCTGCGATGGTGACAGCCGGTGTCACCCTTCCACCCCTGACAAGCTGATTCTGTTTAATTTCCGAGGCAATTTCAGAAGAATGTAGATCATTACTTAAGCATAACGGACTTAATTCAAACGCACCGTTGGAAATTTTCTTGAGGGACTATGTACCATTCTTCACCTCACATACAAACAATACTGCTGCCAAGTGGAGGGGAAGCTGTGCCGTGCGCTGGGCTCTGTAAAAGTGACAATTTAAGAACATTACCATAAGAAATGTAACCGTGCACCATTGAGTTTTCCTTCTCGCCAAGCTGCTGACACCTTGGAAAGCAAAGCAAAAGAAAAACTAGAATCCTGGATTTCCAGTCGTCAACTGAGCTGTTTAAAAAGGTTTCTGGGGGCAATATTTTCAGCCAAAAGATCCTACAACATTTTGTTGATGTAAAAAACAGCATGGACGTGCCGTCAGCAGTCAGATTTGTGTTTGTTAGTCTGTGCAGACCTCAGGATGTTAGCTTCGCTTTGCAGGAGGTCAGTGAGAGAAAACAGCAGAGAACGTTGAAAGAATGTATTTACAGACCCCCCTTTTGCAGGTTGAATATTGAATATATTCCTGTTCGACCAGCTCTGGTCTCTTTTAAATAAGTAGAGCTGATCTGTCAGCACTGGAGATCAGTCTTCACAACATTTCATTTTAATTAGGTCTTTTTGTTTTCTCACTTTTAGACTTTAAGGTGTCTGATGCTGATATTTCCAGTAAGTAAATTTGTTCTTCAGGGAATTTGACTTCTGGGGCAATCTAATCACGGGATTAATCAACAATTGCCTGAACGTTGCAGTAAATGAATAAAATAAATCTAGTGCATATTTAACCCTTGCATTATACATAATATTCTTTCTCATGAACATTGGATTTTTCATTGTGTTGTGTGAGGATTGAAATAAACCACTAAAACGCAGATTGGTTAATTGAACACTCTGTGGCAGCAGTGGCCTCCACTTTGCTCGGGCAAAATGAAAGGTTTTGATTAATTCTGATTAAGATGACCTGCAGTTGATTTAAAACAAGAACCCTTGAGCTCCAAAAGCGCCGTTTCAGCTGTGAAGCCCATTTTAGCGGCAGAGCTGCTGGGAAATACGTGTCAGTGGAGAGCCCTTTAGAACAGCAGAGGTCTACGCTGGCTGGATCTAAGGTCCTTTTTAGCTAAGAGTATTTGCTGCCACGTTACAAGAATACTGCTTTATCTGATAGTGCAAAGCCTGTGTCTCCACGGTGGGAGTATAAGCTGGGTTCACTTTTGCTGGGAGTAAATCGCCATACTGTGATACCTTAAAAGGCTGTAAACAGCCCACCACCAACACTGTCACCTGCACTTCTATTGCAGAAGCTTTATGTGTGTTTCATGTAAACACACCACAATGTATAAGTCAACCTGGGACATAGTGAAAACCTCATTTTCAGATAACTAAGCAGAAGGCCAGCATGCACCCCGGGTGCTTAAACACAACTTTGCTGTTGGCTTCAGTCGATCCACAGTTTGCCTCCTCTCCTTTTCGTTCGTTGGTTTATTGACCCTAAAACCACAAAAAAAAACGAAACACCCACACACCATGTTCTCTTCTACGGCAAGTAGCAGGCCTGCAATACAAAGACCTTCTATGAGTCCCCCACTGGACACAAACGCTGAACTGTTCGGCTGGCGTGTGCATGTGCGATGAAGAGAAAATGTGACTCAAAATCACTTGTTTATCGAAGGTTTTCAGCAGAAGTGTTTATGTCAGAGATTTTCCTGGAAATGTTGTTGGTCTTCTTCGCAGCTCAGGCAGAATGTTGTGATTATCAGCTGTTTCGTTAGAAACTCACCGTTTATTGCCTAATCTGCTAATGAACTGAGGACAGGCAATTCAGACGCCAGAGGAAACACTTGAATCAAAGGCAAAGAAAAAAGCTTTCTCTGCAAGATGAAGGGGGGAAATTCAATAGTCTACAAGTGGTAACTAACTCATTTTAATCAGCGGACAATAGCCTTTAATTAAGTGCTTTTTGTAGTAAGTGGTCCTGTGTAATAAACCATTCTTTAATAGAACCTGGTTAAATCAAACTCTTTTGTCGGGACTGTATTCTACAAATACACTTGGACATAATATAAGTATATCAACTTGTTAGGTGTCAAAGCACAGGGATTCACAGAAGAAAAGCAATGTTTGACAGCTCCAAGCCACATCCTCGATATGCTTTATCATCACAGCCCCAGTTTGATGGACTAGAAATAACACAGTAGGTGTTTTTTTATTCATATTACATTCGTGCATTTAGCAGATGCTTTAATGCAAATTGTGTTACGAGGGAAAATGCTAATTAGCAACAGAGTACATCATAAAGAACAATTTACAATACATATTCAAAACATGAGGAGGCAGTGAATTAAGGCATGTAGTCAGGGATGAAAACAAGTCATGGCATGTGTTTAAATTAGCGGGAAACTTAAAGTTTAGCTAAAAACAATACGTTTGGAATTTATGTTCATTCTTAAAAAGCTAAGGATTAGTTAAGGGATGCTTTCTTGAAAATCAGGCATTTAGGTCTCAGTTTGGTGGACCGCAGTCACGTCCAGCTAATGGTTGCTCTCAGGCTCCGAGGTGGGAGAAAGAATCCAGAGAGCATAGTACCCGAGCAATATATAGGAACGCATTTGAGAGCATCAGTTAATCTAATTCTACTGTGAAAATGGAAGAACAATGACCAAAATCCCTCAGTTTATTTTGAGAGAAGTTTTCTGAATTGACAGAATTGGAAGGAGGTATATCTATAATTTTGTCATGAACTGAAATATAGAGTTTCCTTACTTTGCAAAGGTCTCGAGCCTGTCTCTAGTTTTGATACCATTTAATTTCAATATCTGTAGGAGATTTGCTAGTAGCAACTTTGCGAAAGGACATAAAATCTGTATCTGTTTCTTTAGTTGAATAAATAAATGCAAAGTGGCCCTATGATGGACCGTCCATGGTGTACCCCGCCTCTCGCCCATTGACTACTGGGATAGGCTCCATTCCCCCCGCAACCCCAGTAGGGAATAAGCGGTTACGATAATGGATGGATGGAATAAATGCAAAGATCACAGTTTAACAGAAATGAAATGCTACTTTTTGGGACTAAAAATTAGATTTGTAATAGAAAATAAGGCATATATCAGCCTGGTGTGCTGAAACTGAACAGGCAACAGGCTAAATCAGATTTGACAGGTCTCAAAAATCAATCTGCCATCATTTAACATCATCTGAATATGACATGAGCGGGGAAAATCCAGGGCCCGAGAGATTTATTGGACCCTCTGGTTGCTTCATTTACTGTTTGTCAAAGTCTTATCAGAAATGTCTCTGTGAAAAGCTGGCTGTCAGGTGGTCATTTTTGTGAATGTTTAACGTGGAGGAAGGCCTCCTTTCTCTTATGCTGCATTTTCATTTATTCTTGCTCCTTCAGTTAAATTGTTACACTTTCCCCCTGATTACCTGAGAATGTTTACTGATATGAGAAGTGGGTCAAGATTTTTGCACTGTGCTGATGATTTCATTGATACAAAGCAATGTTTCCCCCACTACTCAACAAGGCAACCTTAGTCTCAGTGCTAGATTTAAAAGAATTTCTGCCTTTTTGCTGTCAGACTGGGCCCTGAAGCTGTGTTGGCTCCTTAATCAATTTCCACTGACTGAAATAATGACTATACTAAAAAAATAAAACATTGCACCATTAGTTTAACCTTTTAAAGTGTTTTGGTCTCAACTAAGAAAACCATTTAAAGGACACATCAGAAACTGCTCTGCCTTGTAAATAAACCTTTTGCCAAAGAATACATATTGACCAAGATACATTTCACACCTCACACATCATCCATAACGATGTGTTTACTTTGGTGCCACATTGCCAAATCAGCCCTCAAATCAAAATTGGAGGTTTGTCATCTATGATTTATGGCCGATACAAAAACAAAGCTATTACATTCCAACTTTCCAAAGTGACTTGAGAAATGTCCAAGTGATAAGATGTCAACCTGGGTCATAATTTTCCTTTAGTGTGTTGTGTTTTCCCATATTCCAAAAAGGTAGGTAAGATGATTCTTTCTTTGAGTCACATGTAAAAATGCGAGTGCATGAATAGAACAGTCAGGATTCAGCTTTCCTTTCAACTGTAAACACTGACTGCTGTAGTTTTAAACCTTGCCTTATTCAGGTTTTGACGTTGCTCTGAGAAAATTGGAGGAACCAGATCCAGTTTTGTCCATATCATCCCTCTGAATAAAGTCCAAAGGCTTTATCATCCCGTGTTGGAGATCCCTGGAACAAACAGTTCATTTTAAGTATGTTACACACCAATGGGACACATCTCAGGCACATTCAGTACTTTTAAATTACTGCACATGTTTTTGTTAGCATAAATTAACTACTTTGTCATTGTATTGTCATCTAAATAATTATCTTACACCCAGTATAGTAGAGAAACTAAGAGAAGTTTCAGAATACAGAATGAATCATGTTTTCCCTTTCTCTTACCCTGAAATCTGTTACATATGAGGTACACAGAGGAACAGTTAAAGGGAGCCTTTGTGTCCACTCTCTCTTCTCCTGCCTCTTTCACACAGCCCTGTGAGTTCTGTCGAGTCCCTGTAGATACTGTGAGCTTGGAAAAACATTAAAACCTGTGCAACAAGGTCCACCCTGGAGCTGAGATTCCTAGTGCTGACATCTTTTCAATGACATCATAAAGCCTCCGTGTTCCAACACCCAAAAACAATGGGGCTTTCAGCATTTAGTGGCTTAGAAAAGGTAAGCATAGCACAATTCTGACCAGTTCCTTGAAAACAGGTCGAATATGAAGCGTCGGAAATCATGTTAGACAATACAGAAGAACGTTTTTAGCTTTGGATTACCAGTTTATGGTGAATTGTGTGATTAAAATATCATATTGATCTGATCTGACTTATATACCAACAAGGACAATTCTGCCATGTCTCCAAATATGTAAATTTCATTGGTTTTAGTTTTAGACAAATAACAGAGTCCAAGAATGCTTGGAGCCAACCAATTGTCCCCCTTTGCTGTATGAGACATTGATATTTCCAGATTCATGCTGGAATGAAAGATGTGCAGAGGCGGAAAGGAGTATGAAAAAAAAAAGAGCTTGAAATGTCACTCAAGCATGGGGTCATACTTTTTCTTCAACATACCCCGCAGTGAAAGATAAAAAAGAAAAAAAAGATATAGAAACTTTTCATTGCACGGAGAACAGCCTAAATTTCTGCCAACTTGTTTATATAACTAGCTAGTAAAGAGACTCCAAATAAACTGTGTTTTTTTCTTTACTATGAGAGCCTAACTAGAAAATGTATATGAAGTGGTTGACTGATTCAGGTTGGGTTTTCCAGGTCTTCGTGCCGAACAAAGTGTTTGTTTTCTTCCCCACCAAACCTTATCTCCCTTTGGCAACCTTAGAGATGATAGTTTTAGGCCTTGACAAAATTCTGACTGAATTGCGTCACATGGGCAGCCAGAGTTCAGTTATCAGGTCATCCTTCTACCTCCCCTCCGGTCTCCTTTAACTTGAACGCAGCTGAAGTCCTTCAAGAGGCGAGCTTCAGTGTGTGTGCATCTGGATCCTCCACCCATGAAGCCCAGTGCCAACCATGACTGCAGTGTGAATCCCCACAGATTTCCTTTCCTGCCTGATGAAATGCTTCCAAAACGACCGGCAATAATCGAGTGTTTGTGTGTGTGTGTGTGTGTGTGTGAGAGAGAAAGAGAGAGAGAGAGAGACAGAAAGGGAGAGAGAGAGAGAAAGAAGACAATGTTTCTGACGCAAGAAAACTGTCTTCATTTAATGATTTTATCATATAACTCTTTGCTGAGGTGGAGACAGCCTGGGTCCATGAAATATAGCTCTACTTTAGCCATTATTAACTTCCTGAGAGCTCATCTGTGCTCTTCAAAATGATAAATTTCAACGAGCCACACAGTCCTCTTGTGGCCTTAATGTGTCATGGCTACGGCTCCACGCCTCGGCAGCTGGCTCTGCCGCTCCCTGGCCTGCTTGGTTGGCTAAAGCCTTGAGTGCAAATGATAGCGAATGGCAGCATGACTGAGAGAAACACACATTCAGGAATTAAATGAAATAATATTGTGTAGTTCATAGGAACGTCCACTTGCACGTGTCTGTGTCAACCGGGATGAGATATCTCCGATTTTGCTTTGGTTAGGTTTGCTGGGGGTCAGATTTGGGAAGCAGCTGTGTGTTCGAATGAAAACCGAAGCGCTGCATCTTCTTTTACGGTTTTAATTTGACACGGCAGTTTCTCCAAAAAAGCTAAATCCGCTTTCGCTGGAGTTCATCGTCGTTGTGTAAGACGTCTGAATTTATGGTTTCACAACCACAAATGTCAGGTCTGCACAACAAGAGTCACAGCATAGATAGCTGATTTTGTTCACGAGGACGCTACTTTTATATTATGGGGGACTTTTTGTGTTCCTCGAGTAAAGCTACAAACCGTCTGGAGGAACACATGCACTTCCTCGTGTGTGATATGTACGAGAAAAAACACAAAGCGAAAGATCATGCTCTCGTGCCCTCAGTGCTGATCTCTTTTCCTCCCCTCTTTTTCATCTGCTGGGATGAATGAATACACCAGCAGTGAGACCAAACGTGGTGAGGCTGCAAGCTGATAGGTTGTGCACATGATAAATAAACTTGTGGTAACCCAGACATGAGGGAGCAGGAGAATAAAACACAGACACACACTTGATCTGACAGTTTGTGTGGGGCAGCTTTGTGCTGTTTTGCCTGCTCATTAAAACATTTGAACCTGCCTCGAACCAGCAGCTAGCTTGGCTGGACATTGATTAATAATAGCTCATTGTGTTTAATGCTAACAATTAATAAGACCAGTTGAGGGAAGATTAGTTGGCACATTTATTTAGTGAAGATTGTCATTTTCTTTCTTCCCTTGTATTTTTATCCATTTCGATTTCTTACTGCCTCTCCTTTCCTCATTTCCTGCTGATGTAGAAGTTGGAAATCTGAATCATGCCGTTCTGTTTTTTTCTGCCGATCAGAGACACCAGTGCATCACAGTAAGAGCTCCACTCAGTGGCATAAGGATTTTTACAATGGAGAATTTCACAATGTCATATAATCAAGGTCGGGAGGAACTGATGTGGCTCATAACATATTTTTAGTTCTTCCTCAGTATGAAGGGGAATTTCTTTGTGTATTTTTCAATTAATATGGAGCTCCTCACCACCCCATTTGCTTCAGACTAATTTACAATTCTCTCTAATGGCAAAGCAGATTCATATTGTTTGTGTTCCGTTAATGTAATATGGAAAAATGCTGAAATGTCCAATTTACATACTTTCTGTGATAACCAAATTCATCATTCTTCAGTTAGTAGTATTTATCATAATGATGCAATTGGAAAGGGTTGTGCAGCTTTGTCCAACTTAGTCATTTAAATACAGCTACAGAGAAATTTGGAGCAAATATGTTCTGAGATTGGGGTATCACCTTTAAAGTAGACCTGAGCCATAAATGTGTGAACCATAACAGTTTGCCCAGTTTTCCACCATTGAATCCACTCTGCTTGTTGCAGAACTGCCAGACATCCCACATGATTTATGAGATACTGTCAAATAAATCATACTACAAAATGATATTACAAAACGATCACCTACACTTGAGGCCGCAGGCTGCTGAGGAAGTTGTCGATGTCGTCCTGCGTGTCCCCTTCTAGGCGACCCAGGTAGGTGTAGAGTTTGACATAAGTTTCAAACGGGATCCTTGCAGGTCCGCCCTCCTCATCGTCTGTCAGGATCTCACAAGCAAACTTCAGGGTGCTTATGAGGGTCTAAGATGGAACATCCAGAAAACCATAGATTGGGAAAAAGAAAATTAAGGATGTACACTAAAAAAGACATTCAAGAGCTATCACAGGCCACATAGTTGGTTTAAACTTATACTAAAAGGACTTATGCAAAAAAAAGCTACATGAACATAGAACTAGACTGCCCTCGTGTGGTTAATGATGTGATCAACAGTCTTGAGCATGGCTGCACCCAAACTTAGATTTGGTGGTAATGCTCAGCTGCACTTACTTCTGCAGACACAAAGACATGTTTTACTAAGTTTCTCATTCTTACAGAGTCTCTTTGAAAAATAAAAGTCTCTTGTGGTCTACCTGGCTCTTTTAACCTTAATCACAGGCTTAACTGCAAGCAAAGATTTACACCATCAGAGAGATTTATGCAGCACTACTGCTGGACCTCCGGGACCCCGATGGAGAAGTCTGAAGCGTGGATGTCTGGATTTGGCCCACACCCTAAACTAGACTGCGAGATGAACAAAAACTGTCGCTTTCTCCAGCTGTGCTCGGCTTCTGCTTCAGATGAAGTGGTATTAGCATTTATATGTAGTTTTATGTAACATCTTACCCCTCCCAGAGCGCTGCAGCCCAGGGCAAAAAACTCCATCCAGTCTATTTCAGAGCCGAAGCTGCCCAAGGACAGCAGGTTTTGCAGCAGATCAGCGGGAAGACACAGACCTTTCCATTTTGTTTGCAGGTCCTTTGTGCTGCATCTGTGTTTAGGGGACAGCTGTGATTGGATAGAGAAGACGTATGAGGCTTCACGGTGAAAACGCTTATTTTTAATGTGAAAAAAAAAAACTGAATTGTTCTGCTGTTGGGGATATGTGACTATCAAATAAACATGTGTATAGTGTTTGTCTGTGGGGAAATAGGACTTATTCAGTTATCTGAATAGATGCACCACAGCTACATGGCAGTAAATACTAGAGGTGAAATAAAGTAGGTTTATAAAGATATGCACTGTTAATCTCCCACACTGGCAGGCAGAATGCAATAACCAGAAACAAACTAATACTTTCATATGAAATCTTATAAAGTAATCTTTACAGACAATGTAGTATGTACAAAAACATACTAATTCAAAACTGTAAATCAAACAATTTTTTTGGACTATTTTTCCCCACCACTTACGACTCTTTTGAGAAAATTACAATGATTTGTGATCCTGCTGGTAAGAAAACACCTGCTTGTGAAGGGTCTTCAATAGCCCTGGGGTCAACCCGGTGTCATTCTTCTGGGTGGCAACATTCATCTCCAGCCTCTCCTTGACCGGCAAACACTCTCCTTTAGCCAGTGCATTGAAGTATCTGAAATATGGGTAGCAAAGATGTATTTTAATAAACCGTTGTGGTCAATTTTACTTTGCTTTTGTTTAATCTGACCTGCTTCCTCAGCCTGCCTGCTCAAATGAAATGGAGTATATTAAATGAGGCATACACTGCCCTTTATCCGACTTAATGACCTCTCTTAATGACTTAATGACGACATCGTCCATCTACAATGGTGTCCATCATACTATTTTAGTATTTCATCATGAATTAAGGGGCAGGACGGCTCTCAGCATCCCTTAGAGGCACAAAAACTAGATGTTACTTTATTAGCAAATACATCTTGCCAAGCTACACTGGCCAATTCAACAAGACAGCACCTGGACATTATTAGCAGTTAAGATAATTGTTGTTTAATCCTGTAGTTTGAACATGCTTCCTCTTTGTTACAGAGCGTGAGATAGTTTAACTGCAGCAATAGCATGGGAGCCCCTGGGATCTAATTAAAGAGAGCCTTTTACAAAGAGAAGACATGCACAGGTGAAGAGACTTGCCTCGTCCCTCAGCACTGTTGCCTGGAGACACTTTTTGTGGTTTTATTAGAAGGAAAAGGATTGTAATAAAGCTATAATGTCATGTATCTCTATCCTCGACCTGAACCCTAGTGGAGACAGGGACTCACGCTGCACACCACACCAGCAGATCCCTGGGCTGTGTTCGGATGGCTGCCTTGGTGAAGTTTTTCAGGATGTCTGGCAGCTCGGGGGGAGTGTTAATTTGCTGGGCACAGTAGAATGTGTCAGGAAGAGGCATGGCGGCAATATCTGCATCGCAACACGGTCCAGTTAGCATATGATAAAGCGTGCACAGATAGGGAAGAAATAAAGACACATTAGCTGTAACTACAAACTTCATATGTAGACTTTAAAACTTTTAAAAGAAAAAATGTGTATTGTAAGCCCACCATGATGGAGGTTTTTTTATTAGAAAACTGACAGCTAAATACAAAATAATTAGAATATATATATATATATGTATCCGGACTACAAGCTAACGATTTACGAGTTTAACTTATTCATGTTAGCGATAAAATACTTAATATCTCACCTGAAGAGTGAAGTCAGTGGAAAAGTATAATACAGGTCGTTGCGAGTTTAATACATTTGAGGTTGTGTATATCGCAGCTTGCTTGTCGCATAGCAACATCGTTCTTCTTCTTGGTGTGACGTTTTATATTTGGCGCATAGCGCCCCCACGTGATTCTATTTTTTTCTACAGTGGTAAACACGAAATAAAACTATTAAAAGCGTAACGGTACTGTAAACGTGTAAAACAGTTTCCCCTTCCACAACCTATTTTGAACATAGATGCTTTGTGAGTTTACCACACTAGCCATTTGTAAGACACTCCTGAAACGGTGCTTCTGCAAAGAGAAACTTTTCTGGAGCATTCAAAGCAAAGGGGTGGTATTCATTTCCAGGGTTCAACCCTGGCTGCTACAAATGTCTTAAAACGTACACAACCATGCAAGCCTTAGATAGCCCACACAGGAAAAAAACAGGACTAAAACTTAAATCACACATTGAGTGAAATGCTGCCATAAAACAGGCAAAAGAATTTATTATTAAACGGCATCTTGAAAATACAGGTTTCCACAGACTGTGATTATAAAACAAGAATACATCTAGCAATTTTGGTAACCAAAGGGACAAGGACATTGGGAAAGAAAAAAAAAGGTCAACCACTCCCAATGCTCACAACACAGACATGATAGACAAATTCTTACTTGTGTGACATGCACTTACACAAAATCACTGTCAGGTCACATACACTGGCTAGTGCAAATTTGTTCTTGCACATGTAGAAGATGAGTAAGCAAAATGTTCTTGTGAAGCTCCAACTAATGTGACATCTACTGTGGTGTTAAAGACAAAGAGGACAGTGTTTCCTATACAAAGTTTTTACTATACAGTGATGCAGATCGGCCTAAGAAACTGTGGCTGAAAAAAGAAAAGAAAAAAATATACACGATGGATGGACTGCAGCAAAAACAAAGACTAGACAAAGGTGTTAGTCCCTCCATACCTTTCCCAAATTTCATCCATTAATATAAAAATAAAACTGTCTCTCCGAACTCCCACCCACTTGCACCTATAAAACTATGTTAGAACAGATAATACCCCACACTGGGACTTTCAGACAGGGACTATGTTGCTCCCCAGCCAACAAACTTATCTTATTCAGTTCTTTCCCTTTACTAGGCGTACCTCTTGGTGGGCGAGCCTTGGATAAAGCCTTATCTGTTAAGCGTTCGAGTGCAGTTTTTGTGATTTGACGGCAAAATGTGGTCAGCTACACAGTCAAGTTCAATCTTGCACAATATACAGGAAGATCCAAATCCTCAAAGGATATCTGATACATGTGTAAATGACCCAGCTCTGTTTTGGTTTGGCAATCCGGAGGGCACGTTTTCACTACGGCGAGCAGAAAACACTCGGCAATGTTGGGTCAATTAATGCTCGCTGTTCCTATGCCCTCACATCCTCCAATTCTTTTGGAAATGTCATAATCAATAAAGTCTAAAGAAATATTGTTATTCGTTTACTGAAAAACAAATGAAGATGATGGGGCAAACATATCGATACTGTCTAAATCATCAGAGAGGGATGGCTCTGGATGGTTTTCAATTCTCTTACAAATTTCCATAGTTAAATCCAGTTCTAGGTAAAACCACTCGATGACTGGTCATCTCTGTTGTACTCCCTCAAACTGTAATTCCTGTTCTATCGTTGGATAATGGCCATTGTAGCACTACCTTTATGCTTTTGGGAGGCCAGGGCTACTTTGGTACAAGCCCCACAATTACTCAGTCGCTTTGTCGCAGCTTTCCATCTTCTATCTTTTGCCCCTTTTATTACCAGCAGGGGGCTTCTTTAGCTGGAGGAGGGGTGCTCCTGTGACGAAGCCTGCAGCAGGTTGGTTAGATACACCAAACGTCAGGCCGACGGACGGGTTGATTCCGGGGTTGCTGAAGTTGAAGCCTGTGTTGCTGCTGGTGCTGCCGAATCCTGGGGGAGAAAAAAAAGAAAGAAAACATGCAATTTCAGGCAAAACTGCATCTAGGGGATACTGGAGATTGGTTCTAAAATGAGAAGCAGGGTAAAGAAAGGGAAACAGAAGTGTTTGCTGATTAGATTAACTATTTACTATTAGGTCTTAGTGGAGAGAAACCTCAGATCCTTCAATACCATCCTGTAAACAAGCTAATGTTTTCTGAATGTACAAGGAGGGTGTTGACAGCTGCTTATCAGGGGAGCAGGTTCACCTACCCACACATATGAGGCTCACAGTTAGCACATGATGTTGCTTTCGACAACACTGCCATTTCTCATACAACTGGTCATTTAAAATTCAGGATGTACCTCCATACACAAGTTAAACTCTTGGTTTAATTTCTCTCTCCCTTTTTTTTTGTTTTGGTTCTGTCATTTCAAGGGCCCAAGTGTGAGGGTGGTATCCACATGTGTACCTGCACTCAGACTGCCTCCTGTAGGCTTACTGGTGGAGGAGAAGGCAAAAGAAGACCCCCCAGTCCCCACCCCACCAAATCCAGGCCCACCACCAAAACCTGTGGGAGAGAGCGACATGGCAGTCAGGCTGAACTAAAGCACACATCCTACATAAGGAACAATCACGAGGAGCAGTGTCTCTGGAGTACACACACCCAGGCATAAGCAGACATATGCAGACAAATACCACTATTTAGGATGCACACTGCTACACACTCCCGGGGCTTCTAACTGAAAACTACAGGGCGATGTCTCAGAATTCTGCAGAGCGAAGCAGAGGCCAAAGGGTAAGACACGGCAGACCAAACACACCCAACAAGGGAACACACCACCACTGTGCGTTCAGACCACATGTTCCCACAATCTGCAGTGGTATGCATTATAAAAAAGGAAAAAAGGGTTTAAATAAAATATCTAAGATTGACAAAATGGTTACAGTCTTTAGGCCAAATTCCTCTCCTTAAATAAGTCAATAAAAATAAAAAGGCCAACCAGCTTGTGACAAGCTTTGTGCTGCTATGCTGTGATGTGAACGCACTTCACTTGCAAGAGAAATAGTCAAAGAAATATATATATACATATATATGAATATATATGTGTGTGTGTGTTTTAAGCATACTGCAATACACATATACATTCCTGTAACTTCTATTTCTCTTTATGGTTTATACAAGAAACAGGACGAGATGCTATTTAACATTGAGGGAATGGTAAACTATGCAAGGGGGAAACAAAACTAAAAAGAAGATCTGATTACAAAAAGAAAAAAAATGCAGAGGGGGTACCTCCAATGGTAGAAGAGCCCAAGCTAGTGCCCACTGCTGAGGCAAAAGGGTTTCCAAACCCTGCCCCCAAGGGTGCCTGGGTCCCTAAGGTACAGAGAGAGCATGTGCTTTACCACTTTACTACTCTGAAGACATGCAAAGTGTTTGAGTTCAGAAAGGAGGAGGGGGAAAAAAGGGAGGTGTGTGGGGGGGTGCTGCACATTTTATAATGTGTACAACTATCATACAGACAAAATGTCAACAAAACATTGCCAAAAAAGTAAGAATAAGAGCTAGTAATTGTGTGACACAGCATGATCTTGTTGTGTATGGGCACAAAACAAAAACAAAAAAAGCTAGTTCTTTCACTCAGAAACTTGTCTTCTTTACATTAGTGGAATAGATTATTTTTGTTTATCTTTTTTCCCTCCTTTGGAATTAACTATTTCTCCAATTTGTCTGCATCATTAGCGCAACTTCAGCCAGAAGGAAACAAGGACAAATGTTTCTTTGTTTAAAAACTGATTTATTGTCAATTTATATGCAATTCCACTTACATAAAACACAAACAGTTAAAAACTGGATTATTTGTTAATGGCTAACTGCTACTGCATTTGACAAGTTTCCAAATTTTCCAAATTTTTGAGTGAATGAACTAGCAAATGCTGCAAAAAAAGGGAAAAAGGAGAAAAGAAAATAATTACCACACATTATTGATTATAGCTTAAAAAGGCACACAATGTTATATATTTATATAAATCAACAGGCATTTGATACATATGTTTAAACAATGTTAAATGGAAAAGCACTCCAGATTTGTGAAGTTAGCATTTGTGCTGTGTTTCTGTGTAAACTGGTCTAAATAAAGGACACTGTATGGAGCGGTTGCCAGTAGAAATGAATGTTTTCAAGTTTGAGGCCATCCAACGCGTAAATGAATTACTTACTGGGGTTCACATTGGAATCATTCTCACCGGTGTAATCGCAAGATAGAATGGCGGCTACGATTGTTGGAAACTGAGGAACCAGTTTCAAGTAAGATAACGGGTCACAAACTTCTGTTGAATCGTGTCCGATTTCATTGAGGTGACCAGCTGGCATCGTGTGTACGACCCTTTTCTTTAGCATTTGCAAACATATTCGTACCTCTCAAAATACATAAATCAGATAATACAGACAAAATAAGGTTTTTTTTCTCCATATTTCTTTCTCCAGTTTCATTAAACTGGAAAAAAACAAAACATTCACATTAAAATTCCTTCATTTGTGGAAGGGAGGAGGTACACAGGACCACTTTGGCCTTAAGGGAAATACAGCATTTATACACTGATAGATGAGGAACCCTAAATGGAGAAACAATTCATCTTACTGTCAATGATCACCGAGTCAACAGAGCTTTGACGGACCAGTGAATAAAAACTAGTGTCAGTGTCATCACTGATGGAAAAGATGTGGAAGAAAATATCTTGAAAGTTACCGAAAACCTGCACTGCAATCAAACTTCTAGAAAACTTCGTAATACCTCAGACAAAAAAAACAAAAGAAAAAAAAAGGTTAATTGTGGAATCAGAGCAATAGAATTTCCAAACCAGTGACTTTCTGTTTGCAAAGCAACGTTATTGTGAAAAATTAAACATACTAAATTTACAAACCGCTGCCATTACCAGCGGTAAAACTACAATTTTTCCTTATGGTTGGCTTAGTGGTTCACCTGAATATATCCTCACTTCTTAAAATATGATCAAACATGTAGATAAACAGTATGACCACACTGACCTGTCGGTTCCTGTTTGGCAACCATGTATCAAAGCGGTTCCTGTGGAACCAGCGCCAGCAGCAAAAGCGAGTCTTCGACTCGTTCAGCATCAGCACAGAAGGGAAAAGTGGGATTTTCAAAAGAAGTGCAAAGCGTTTCTGGGAAAGTCAACCTCTGAACAGCGGCCTTGCTCCACAAATACACCGATATTCAACTGGGTATGAACTTAGCCAGTAGCCCTTAGTTGAAATTACCTTCATCAGGTCACAGCACAACCCAACTGTATAATGCAACTGAAGTATTCAGTTATAAAGCTAAAGCTTGCCATTGGTCACAATCGACAATCTACAATGTAAATGAACTTTCTGAATAAATATGCAATTTCGGCTCTTTGATCACAAGATCATACAAACGTAGGCCAGCGATTCGAAGCAAAGAAACCGCCACTGACAAATCACAGGATTGAATTTGAAGTTCAGGCAATCAGACGATTCTATTTTCAGTCCTGAGTCTTTTGGCACCCTTTCCCCTTCCGTCTGTGAGGTAAAAGTCCCAGCGGTGCCAGGCCATCACAACATTCAAGCACAGCTGGTGGGTAAATGGGTACAAAGCGCCAGCCAGATGCACGTTTAGCAGTTTAGTGTGAGACGGACCATCCACCAATAAGTAATTTCCCGCCTAGCCTACACTAAAAGTCAAGCACAAGAAACATCATAAAGAAATAAATAAGTAAATAAATACAATTTGTGATGACATTTGGCATGTCTCAGAATTGGGTGGCTTATTAGAGACGGACACTATCTGGCAACACGGGGGAGAGTTTTCGCTTTCAGAAAAAACAAAAAATAAAAAGAAACCACATTAAGTTTGTTTTGTGCCCATATCTGGGGTGAAAACGCTTGCAAAGCTAAGAGCCTGAAATCCTATTCAGCATGTTAGGACTGCGTATGGAATTCTTACTGTGCAGAGAGCAACACTCAAAGCACAAAGAGCCAATGGTCAGAAGCTGATTCAGTGAGGAGACAAAAAATATCCGCAGCAGGCACAGAGATGGTTTGCACCAATAGCGCACAAGTGGATTGCAACGTCTGCACTGGCCAGGCTCATTGAGAAGTGCTTTGTTTGTTTTGTTTTTTTGTAGTCACCATAAAGTAACAGATTGGTAAAACAGTCCCAAACCTCATTGGCACATACATAGGTAAACTGGTAAACAATTACTCAACACAGCTTCCGCGTGTCCCACCGTGTCATCAAAGGTAGCGGAATTCCCAAATTTTCACATAAGCCACACTTTATAAATAGCGAGCAGATATGCTAACAGTCTAAAGTTCTACATGAGGCAGCAGCAATTTTGATAATGAAACTAGTCTTGCCATCTACTTCTATAATTTGCCCAAAGTTCAGCTTAAATTTTTTTTAAGACTTTTTCTTTTTCTTTATAGCTCCATTGATTAAATGTAGTATTGCTTTGAAACACTGGGCTAAAGATCTCTACCATTTTATTCGACCTTACAAGGAAAAAAAGAAATGCAAACATGCTAATATACATGTGGTAGTAGCTTAGTTTGTTGATCATCTGATGGTGACCCAATATGCCTATAAAACAGCCTAAATACCAAAGCCTACAAAAATGGCTGGAAGATCAACACCTTACAGATGTGTTAGCAAACATAACAGCATACTTTAGTTGTTCTGGCTCTCCGTAAAACTAACCCTTCCTGCCTGCCAAGTGTTCTGGGAAAATGTTAGTGTACAGGCCCAAGAATAAAGTATTAGTGAGTTTCTTTAAAACCCTACAAAAGTCCAGTTTGCCAAACATTTCTGTAAAAACTGCGCGTGTGACATTCATCCACAACCACGTGGTTGATATTATGAGTGTTAAACACTCCACCAAAGTTCGGTTTTGAACAATGAGATAACGAGTTAACGACTATCACAGTTTGAGGAGGAATTTAGAGCAGAATTACAGCACTTGGCTTGGCTTCTCTGCCTTTCTAATTGGAATGGGTGTGAGAAAAGGTTATTTTGAGCAAATATCCCATGTGTTAGAAACACATTCTGTCTGAAAGAGCTCCCTCCATGATAGCTGGGCACTGGAAAGTAGGAGCTAAATTGTTATAAAACTAATCTTTTGACACCAACTGCACATCCTGAACAACCCATATAAAAACCTAGAAGATTCATCTTCAATTTGATAATACTTTTCTTTTTACATCTAAATCACAGCAAATGTTAACAATAGTCACAACTTGTTTCGTTACCCATATTCACAGAGTAGGTCCTTTCTAATTTGTTTTATAAATATTGAACCCTAGCTCAAATTATTTACAAACTGATTATAATTTCAAACAACACAGCTACAAATTCTCTACTGGCTTTTTTTTGTGTTAGTTTTGTTCCAGTAACGTCAGCCACGTGACCAGAAATGAAATTAATAGAAGAGATTTGTTTTAAGGAGGTGCCTTTTGTGTGTTGAAGCCATATATAAAATGTTTCCAGCATTTGCTTTTATTTGTTTCTCATCTCCCTTATTTATCACCTCAAACAGGGAGAAGAGGAGAAGAACTTTCTAAAACTTGTAGGCAGTCAGACCTGGAGTTGGCTGCTGTTGCTGGGTCAGTGTGGCTGCCATGGCGACAGCTGCAGCATTGGGCACACCGGAGAACGGGGCCGGCCCGGTTGTGACTTGTGGCGCGTTCTGCCATTTCCTGTTGGACGCCCGTTTGGATTCAAAGACGTCAGTGGAGTCTTCAAGGAAGGCTCTGCGGTAGGAAAGGTACTGGTGCTTCAAAATCTAGAGCAGAAGGTAGAAAAGAAAAAGCGGGTGACGTTCTGGCAGCAACATCTTCAAAACCCAGTATCTGACATGAAATGCTCTCACCATGAGATACACTTCCAATCAGTAACAGGATTACAAATCTAAATTGAACTTTTTTTTATTAATCATGTTCAGACAATGTTGAGGAGAAAAGAAATATAAAACAATAAGAATATTAACCTTGACATTCTCATGGACAGACTGAAGCTGGGCAGCTTGGGCGACAAATGTTTGGTACAACTTCTGCATGGCCAAAGTAAGATCTGGGGGGGAAAAAAACACTCCCATAAGTTCTGAGCTCATCAGCTGCATGTTTTATTAAAAAGGAACATCTGGGCATTACCTTTCAAAGTCACAATATACCAATGAACAGTAGCTGTATGGTCTTACCCTGAGGAGTGATGTGGGAGCCACTGCTCTGAGTGGTCAGGTGGTTCTCCAGCTCCTCTATCTGCTGCCTGTACTGTTGGAGCTGCACCTCAAACTGCTCCACCAGGCTACGGAAATAACTACACAGAGGAGACCCCTTGTTCATTAAAAGAACGATTTTTGGAGGAAAGCGAAGAAAAGTGAGACTGTCTGCACTAGCCTTCCATGACAGGAAGAAGTTCTGTTTAGATACACAAAGGCGACAGACAAAAATCACTTTGAGCAAGAGTCTGTCTTTTAGTGGAGGGCTTGACAGCTCACTTACTCGGAGGGAGCCGTGTTTTCATGCTGAAGTCCAGGGGGCGTCTTTTGGGTCCGCAGCGCAATGTCGGCATTTTTCAGCTCCTTATGACAAACAAAGAAAAGGCTGCTGTTTAGAGGCTCAGTTAGGTCCCATTTCCTTGGAAAGCACCTAATAATATAATTGAATTATTCTTACTTGAAAAGTTTTTTGGGACAAAATCATTTGGGACTTTTAGTTGAGCAGAATGTTGCTTATAATTCAAGATGACGGTTAAAGGCATGTTGTTTTTACCTGTGCCGTCTCCAGCTTTAGTTTGTCAATGGCCAGAGCTTGGCGTTGCAGACCACTGGCACTAACGGAGAGAAGCTGTTTGAGGTTCTTGATGTCATCTTGGACTTTGGAGATGGCCTTTGATGACATCCTGCTGATGTCCTCCTGAACTTGCTTCTGTTCCTTGACAAATTTTCTGCAAAAAGGAAAACATTGCAGCAGGATCGGAATCACTTGCAGATCACATTCAAGCTCATCACAAAACCATGAGCTAACAATAAAAAATAAAAAAAACATCAGGACTTACTGGAAATTTTCAACATCTTGGCAGATAACAGATGGGAGATTCTCATCTTTCAAAGCTTTGCTGTCTCTGAAGGGGGGGAAAAGGAGGTTCTTTTAAGACTATAGCAACAACAAAAAAAAGATTATTGATTGAATCTTGTGTTGCACTGTAGACACATTTATATAATTCAGTGTAGTTAGTTCAGCACATAGTTCTTTTCACAAAGATCCATTGACAAAATCCTCAACAACACATACTGAGCATTGGCTCCAGATGATGTGTCACTCTTGTTCTCGGAGGAAGTGCTGAAGTCAACCCCGCCGAGGCCAAGACTGGGCGCAGGAGCAGCTGGTGCAGCTGTTGAGGTGGCCAAGAGAGAACCCAATGTTAACCCTCCTCCTCCAAGAGTGCTCTGACCCAATCCTGTAAGACAGTGACCAAAATAACAGCATTAAACTACATGTCTTTTAAACTTAGAATGGAGCTCAAACTGCAACTTGAAAAGGCGGCTTTCATCTGACCAGTAGCCCCAGTGTTTGAGAAGAGACCTGCGCCCAGCGATGGCACTGTTGAAGCTGCCGAGGAGGTCGTTGTGCCACCGAGACCAAGGGTGAAGCCTGTGGCAGCTTGCTGCTGTGGGGCTGTGGATGTAAGGACTGAACCAAATGTTAGGCCGGCCCCTGTAGTTGATGAGGGGGTACTGGTGGAGAGGGAGAAGGGAGTGGCTGAAGCAGTGGGCTTGTTGAAGGCCAAGCTAAAGCCAGTGGTGGCAGCAGTAGTAGCTGGAGCACCTGAGTGTAGAGAGGACAAGAAAAAGGAAAATTAAGAGAGTATTTCAGTATTAACACATCATACTGAGTAAAAACAACTTAGAAATTATAACAGAAACAAAAAACATACCTAATGTAAGGCCTGTTGTGGGTGCAGCAGCAGCACCTGAAAAAAAAGAACAACATCCCCAGATAATGGTTAAGGCATGCTCATTCATGACACTTAGCAGAGTTGTTACTCCACACATTCACTTCAATGCTAGCTTGTGGTCGTCTTATGTTTGGCGTCATTACTTGAGGCAGGTGTATTAAAAGAGAATCCTCCAGCAGGTTTCTGACCAAACAGACTGCCTCCAAGACCAAGTGATGGAGTGGTGCCAGCGGGGGCGGCAGGGGTCGCAGCGGCTGTTCCCAGAGCAGTGTTAAAAGAAAAGCCACCAGTGCTGGCTGCAGGTGCACTGATGACAGAAAATACCAAAACTTTAATCACAGAAAGCACACAGTACACACTTTGTCATAATCTCCAAGTCTGACGACAAAGAAATAATTATCTTTTTTTTTTTTAAATGTATCAAAATTGTTTAATAGTGAGTGGTTAATATCACCCAAAGAGTACACTTAGAATCAATAAATGCTGATCACTTTGTTCCACAAATAGATTGCAATTTGCATTACTTCATTGTAAGCACAACAGTGATCAAAGTTGACACTATCATGATGCTATTGAAATCCATCCCTGAGTTCACCTACAATCTGCATCGCAGACAGTTTGAAAACCAAATTTGACCCACAATGAATATTTTAAATGGGATGTGTAGCTTTCCTCCACGTTCTGTATTGTGTTGGATATGGTAAACGTTTAGTGTTAACCTTTTAACATATTTGGCATAAAACGCCTTCATTACCAACAGGTTGGTAAATCGAGTGGGGATTATAGTATCAACAGTTTAGAATCATTGTGGATAACCGTCAATTATATATATAAAAAATAGCTAAGTTACTGGGTAAGTATCGGACATGTCTGCATGGGAGCGTTCGTTTCTAAACCGGGGAAGTTAATCACACAAAATACTGTTACTTCCAAAAACACAACCCGTATACGTTATTATTCAAAACGTAAGTTATTACCGGTACCATGCAACAGAGTGCGCACGTTACATGATAACCTAAGGCTAAGCTAACGTTAGCAAGAAATGTTTTCCTTTAAATTGGCTATTACCTGGTAGCGGCCCCGAATGTGAATCCTCCGCCCATGTTACTAGGGCCTAGAGTCCCTGTTCCAAAGTTAAAGCCAGACATGTTCTCCTAAGAAATGCGCATTTACCATTTATAGGCTATTTGAACTCACAGCACAACTGAGAAACCTTTGCTAACGCAATACAATATCAGACGTCAGTTAGCCTTCATGTCCGCGTGAGGGCCAAATCCAAGGTCTCAAAACATGCAGGAACTAAACTGTATCATTTTCCTAGTAAATAAGGAGCTTTTCACTCGGTATTTCTACAGTTCAACTATCTTTCTTAGCTTTAGAAAAGCGCCAAATATTGCTAGATGGGTCCCCGCATGGTTTTCATTTCTTATTCCCCGCCTGCTACTTCCCGACTGCTGGGGCATTTTGGGTAATCTTTTTTCAACTACGTTTCCTTTCAGTCCATTTTTTTTTCTAAAGCTCGTGACGTTTCGCGCATGCGTACAGTCTTATCACTGGCACTGAGGGTGGACCGTGAAAAGTTGCAAGTAGAACTGGAATAAAATTATTCCGGTTGTGCTTTCAAAATAAAAACAACACTTACAAACAAGAAGGTCTGAAAACCCTCATGAGAGAGACTTTGTAGATACGTACACACCACCATTACAAAAAATGATAACATGTAGAGTTTTCATCAGATAAACCCCATTAAAAACATTAGATTAACACAGTCGCTTCAGTAGATGTTTGACTCCAGTCTTTGTTTTGAAGTTTTCACTTCCACAGTGTTGACATGATGACAGGAAGCTTCATGCGGATGGAAGAGTGGAAATAATTGACAATAAACACATATCGTGTGCCACCCGAAAAGTAAAGGTGTACAGTACTGCGGTTTAATCCACTGCATTATCAATGATACAGTTATCTAGGGAAGCTGCTGTTTGAACCCTTACAGTCGCTGACAGCTACTTCGAGGCGGAAAAATGGAACATATCCGAACACCGAAGGTAGCTAACATTTTTTGCTAATTGCAAACGGACGAGATGCAGTCTGCAAAACCGGCTTTGTCTTTTTTTTTTTTGTATTTTGCATTGCTCTGCTGACACTACTTTTGCCAGTCCATAAGACTGGGCGCGTGTTGGTGAATTTACTAGCAAGGTGGCTAGCAGGTGTCGCGAGCAGCTCCCGGCGTCATACGTGATGAGCATCAATGAGCGCTTTGTTTTCCCCCAGTAAAGACAGCTGGGCTTCCACTTTGTAATTCCATTACTTGGCCGCTCTGCTATGGATTTAGTTTACTTTACTGTGTCCAACTGGTTAAGGAGTCTTGCATGATAGAACATTACGAGGATGAAAATCGAGCCGTTACATTTATGAGCCCACAGCTGACATGTCCAGAAGAGGTCAGACAGATCATAGATCCTCGGCCCCCTTGGGACGTAAATGGGTGGTTTCAGCGTGTTTTTTTCAAAATTAACTTCTAGCATGGAAAGGCAGGTCAACCGTTTTATACGCAGTATGTTGCCATCTGAGTAATTAATAACAGATGGAGCTAAATGCAAAACATTTTGCTATGTCAAAAAGATCAAATCTACAACAAAATCTGTGGTACACTAGATGTGATTCTGTTTAGCCCAAAATGGTTAGGCAGTCAAACAGCACTCTGGTGTGCATGTAGAAGGATGTTTCATTATGTGTGGTAACAGTGTTGAGCAACTGTAAAGGCTTTTGCTTAATACACAGGAGATTCTGAAGTTGGATGTTTGCTATTGGTAAAAACAAATCTATGCAGGGATTCTTAGGGTGTGACCACCTGCAGACAGGGTGTGTCCCCCATTGTGGCAGGTCCTCCCAGTTTGTTGAAAAGAAGGACACTCACTGCTCTCCATTAATGCCACGTGTATACCTTCGTGTGGTAGTAGCACAATTACAAAAATCTCTGTCAAATTGTCTAAAGGTTAGGTTATAGATTGTTTCTCAAGTTTATAGAATATGTTGCATTTTCACCTTCCTAAGAGACGTGTCTCCTGCATGTCCTTCTCTCAAGAACTCACTCCTTCACTTGCTCATCTCTTCACTTCCTGTATTTTCTAAGAAGCCTGCATGTGACAGAGCTGAGGCCATCATGTTGCTGGGCAACAGAGATAGGGTTAGCTGTTGCATCATATCTGAGAACAACAGGAAAACGCTGAGAAGGAAGAGGATGTCTGAGTCGGCTTGACGGCAGTTGACGGCAGTGCAATGAGTCATGGTTTTGGACAGGGACCCAGAAATCACTTTGTCCTTTACCTGCACTGTTGACTACTTTTAATCTATGTTAGTAATGGAGAGAGAGCTGCAACCCACCAGGCTGCACACTATGCACCCAAAGTCTCCCTTCAGTCTTCTTTTAGTGGGGAGAATATATTTGTCATTGCTGAGAAACCACAGAATGAAGCAGTTTTTTGGGCTGAAGAGTAGTAAAATCAAGAGTCTTAGGGCTTATTTATTAGATACGAGAATGTTCCTACCATTAGAATATTTCCTCCTGTGTTCAGAAACTTGAATGACTCCTATTACTGATTTTGGCACCCAATAACAGTTATTTTCTGCCAGATGCCATTCCCATCTCCCCTCATCATGCAATCAGTGGCATGCGTATTTGTCTTTGCAGGTGGAGCAGGTGCGGCTGATTGATCGCTTCAGCAACAAATCCACGAACGGCACACTGTACCTCACAGCCACACATCTCATCTTTGTGGAGAGCAACTCTAACAACTCAGCCTCAGCTGGACAGGAGATCTGGGTGAGCAGCTCCGCTGGTGACCACTTTGAAAGGACAACAGAGACTTTCTCTGTTATGATAGGCTAGAGTTGAGGTGGAATGCACCTTTTTTATTGACGGAATACATGCTTGATTGATTTATCCAAAACATAACTGGAAAAAAAGGTAAAGTAACATATATAAAACTCTGGATTTTGTACAAATGATTCACTTTCACAAGTATGCCATTAAGGGCCTTTATCCTAAATCTGATGCTGATATCAGCTCCTTGCAAGTTTGTGGGATCACTGATAGGAAATGTTCATTCATCAGCAAGCATGTCTGTCATTTAAATAAGTCTGTCAGGAAGAAGGGAAGCCACATCCAAACCTTATTGTGGCTAGAGGAAGTAAAATATAGTTTCAAAATCCTCTACAAAGAGCTGCAAGGAATCAGTTAGCTTCATGTATTCCTGTAGCTCTGTAAAAAATGGATGAATCATGTCTGACATTAGCAATGCATTGTGATATTTTTTTTTACATTATTTTTTTTGTTGAATAACAATAGAGGGGTAGTGTTGGAAAAGAAGAAGGAGAAGAGGTTCGTTTAGTAATCATCAGTATTGTAACGAATCTTGATCTGTGATCTGAGACAGATGATGACTATTAGAAGTTTCTCCTAAGGACATAAGGTGCAACAGTTCATGAAATGAAATTTCAATACTTGATTTGCTTGGTATTGTTTTCAACACTGGATTGGAACTTGTGTTGGCAATTGCATACTATTATCATCCGGTCTTATTTGAAAGATCCCCACAGCTATCTTCCACACATTGTTGAACCCTGTATTTTTTAACATGTACAGTATCACCAATCATTTATAAGGTGCTGTTTTATAAGGTTACAAAACAAGTGCTTTAGTCTGCAATGTGGCAGAGTTCATGTGGTTTAAAATGCAGCAAAATGTGGGTCCTGACCTCATCCTTCCTGCTTATTTTGCTGAGGAAAGGAAACACTTTTTCCTTTTTCTTTTGGTTTTTTGGTGTTCTCAACATTTTTGTGTTTGTCAACTAATGAAGGGCTCGATGTATGTGTGTGTGGGTGTGTGCACCAAGAACAGTTCAGTGTGTATGTGTGTGTTAAATCATTTTATGATCACTGCTGGGGACGCCAAACGCTTGTCAGAATGTTATGGTGCCTCATAAAATATTAAACAGCAGTTGAGTTATTGTGTGTCTCACCATCTGGTCAATCAACATTTAGATTGCGTGTGTGTGTGTGTGGTCCCGTTTGTGTCGGAGTGTTTTACTAATCATTAGTGATGCTGATGAATGTGCATTTTGATGGTAACCCATGGCTGAGAGAGTCAAACTGCATTAATGAATACGATAATGGCCTGCATTTGACCCACTCGTCCTCTAAACTTTATGATATTGACTCTGTTTATGACAAAGTAGTGAAGGGGAAGGCTTTTTTTACACCAGCATGATGCTGACATGCTTTCTGTTTGTGCACACATTTCTAGAGGACAGTAGTGTGTTGTTGGGTCTGGTAATAAGGTGTTTTCTGGGAATCTTGTCCATAGTCAGGCTTCAACTGACACTCCCTGTGATGCTTGATAGGATCACCTTTTGTGGAATATGGAGTCAGCAGTTTGGGTTTTTTTGCTGCGTAGTGAGAGCCAGTGTTTTATTAAGCTCAGCCCAAAACAACATTTCACACGAAAGAATGTGTTAGAGGATGTCCAGTGGAGTGCTACATTACCGCATAACGATCAGTGCAGTTCATGTTACCAGTTAGTCATTTTACTGCAATGTGAACACCTAACAGCTTAATTGTGCTTTTAAGTTACAAAGCCGTTTACCAGGTTTTGCTTTGCTTGAGAACAATTTCGAACAGTCCAAAAAAACAAACAAATATAAAGCCTATTTATACAGGTATCCCTTTGTATGATTTAATATGCTGAAAAGTTTACGGCCGGCTGAAATCTGAAAGTGATCCAAATCTCTCCTTTTTCTGCAGATTTTGCACCACCATATAGCCTCCGTGGAGAAGCTCAGTCTGACCACCACCGGCTGTCCTCTGGTCATTCAGTGTCGCAACTTCAGGGTGGTTCATTTTGTTTTACAAAGAGAAAGGGACTGCCATGACATCTATAGCTCCCTGCTGCGTCTTCTACGGCCCGGTGGGTCCCACTGTGTGTTTGTCATAAGCTTTTTATTCTGGCCACAACTTAGTATTTCACGGCCACAGATTTATATTCTGTGGCCTTTCTCTTTCTTCCTTCAAGAAATCCCTGAAGACCCAGCTCTTCCGACAGTATCTCTTGTCCTGAAAGCTCTAAATGCACTTATTTCCTAATAGCAAATAGCACTCAATGTATGGTGCTTGTGTAATCTATGTTATAGTTGAATGTTAAATCCTCTTCTAGCATATTGCATTCAAGTAAGGTAAGTGTGTAACTGGTGTTATAGTGGAATGTTAAACCCTCTTTTTATAAGTCACTTTGGCTAAAAGCATCCGCTAAATGCATAAATGTAAATGTAAAATGTAAATCTCTGGCCTCAAATGAGCATTTTGTGGCCTTAAAATATGGGAATACAAATTTACATTTTTCAGCCCCCAAAAATAACTAACTTACTACCCTAAAGGCTTACTCGCAAAATCATTATAGGCTTACTTATCCCAAGAACGCATTTGCTGTAGTATTGGTGCATTCCAATTGGCTTAACCAGCTGTCCAGTCAATTCCTGGGAACGATGTCATAAAATGAACCCTCGAATTAGCATTTCGCAGAAACATTAGGCCTAATTCATGGCCACAAAATTGGTTATTTCATAGTCGCAAAATACAAAGTCATGGCCAGAATATATTATTTTCTTTTTATAGCGACTGGTATGTCTCTGTGGGTTGTATATTGCGTCCTCTCTCAGGTGTTGGAAGCAGTGAGTTGGGCTGTTTTTACAAACAGCATCTTCATGCTTGGATTTTTGTGACATGGATCATTTGTCTGTGATTTCCTTCTCGGTGCAGTGTGCTACGAGGAGCTCTATGCGTTCTCCTACAACCCCAAACAGAATGACCAGCAGAGAGAGGAAGGATGGCAGCTAATTGACCTGGGGGCGGAGTTTGAGAGGATGGGTGTCCCCTGTGACCAATGGCAGCTCACTGATGTCAACAGAGACTACAAGGTAGAAAACTCTGAAACGTTTGTGATAACACACCACAGATCGCTTGACATCTCAGATAAATACAGTCAAGTGTATTCTAAGAAAAACAACAGTCTTGTTTGTAATTATAACATTAATATTCTCCTCATTTGAAAGCTGTCAAGGTCTTAAGAAAAAAAAAATGCATTGGAAAAGACAGAAAATGAGGTCAGACACTGTGCTCCTAACACTTTCTGAACCTCGGTACCTTCTCTGTGTGCCATGAAATCCTCCTATTACAAATAAAAAAGAGGACTTGGGACTTTCCCGACGTCACATGCCTACTTAACAGAGAAGTAGTTGGCGTTGCTGGTTCCGACCTGTAAGCTGTGTCACATGTGTTGGCTGTTTAGCTTTTGGAACCAATTAGATTTATTTGTCATGTTTTGTGTTGTACAAATTATGCCCAGCCTTCTTTTTTTAAATTTTTTAAATTTTATTTTTTTACTCAACCTCTATATGGCAATACACAAGCCCCAATATACAACTGCCCACTGCCAAACATTAAGAAAACATCGTTCACATTGGTCCAGAAGAGGGCAGTGAAGCCTCACTTTTAGTTATTTAGTAGAATTTTAATAAAACACTTATCTGTTCCTGCAGAAACATCTTTTAGGACAGAATAAAATACACTACTATATTGGCTCTACGGGCCGCTGTTCTATATACACACATATATGGCTCGAGTGGGTATAGTATCTGCATTTGTGATGAATGACCTGTTTGTGTGTCTTTGCAGGTGTGTGAGACATATCCCCGGGACCTTTACGTTCCCATCACAGCCAGTAAGCCAATCATTGTGGGGAGCTCCAAATTCAGAAGCAAAGGCCGCTTCCCTGTACTCACATATTTCTACCAAGAAAAAAAGGTACCGTACTTCAACGCTCTTGTCGTGAAATGCTTCTCAAAATGTAAGCCATGAAGTGAGGCCAAAAGGAGGTCACACCCAGACAGCGTTGTATGAAATTGCTTTTAAAAGGGTTAGAAGCGATCATATTCTGTGGCTAAATTTAAAACTTCTGTTTTTGTGTCAGTGGCTTAGCTTGAATAACCTGTTTACTGAATGTGCTCGCAGGCCACGAGCACAAAAGGCCTTTGTACTTTATGGAATGTTGGAGCATCATTCAAATGAGTTCAGTGTTTCAGCCCCCCAAAAAGTGAAATGACTTTTAAAAACCTTTTAGGCGTAGCGTCTTTATACTAACTCAGAGGCTTGTAATGTGTGGCAGGCCGCCGTGTGTCGCTGCAGCCAGCCTCTCTCTGGGTTCAGCGCACGATGCCTGGAGGATGAGAGCTTGCTACAGGCCATCAGCAAGGCCAATCACAACAGCCGCTTCGTTTACGTCATGGACACAAGGCCAAAGGTAAGACGACCAACCCCACCTACTTCATGAGCGATAAGCTAGGGTCATAAACACTTTAACTGAAAAACTAAGTCTTAAAAAAAAACTCAATATAGCACATTTTCTGCAACATGCCGAAAATGTGCAGTAGCTTATCTTTTAACGTGCTCTCGTTTCACACAGTTGAACGCACTGGCCAACCGAGCCGCAGGTAAAGGCTATGAGAACGAGGACAACTACTCCAACATCCGCTTCCAGTTTGTCGGGATTGAAAACATCCACGTAATGAGAACCAGCCTGCAGAAATTGCTAGAAGGTGCAAAACCCACACATTACGAAACCGGATTGCGGTTGTGCAGATTCCGGAATACATTTTTGTTGCTGACAATTTGTCATACTGCCTTTCAGTGATCGGTATTCGATCTCTCTCCATGAGTGACTACCTGGTGGGATTAGAGAGTAGTGGCTGGCTGCGGCATATCAAGGCCGTGGTAGATGCTGCTATCTTCCTCACCAAGGTAACTTCTGTCTTTCTTGAACGCATCTCGGCCCATTTTATTATGTGATTGTAGACGGTAACTGTGAAGAACTGCTGTGCCCCTGTCTGCCACCTTTCTTCCCTGCAGGCGGTCACGGTGGAAGGAGCCAGTGTGTTGGTTCATTGTTCAGATGGATGGGACAGGACAGCCCAAGTCTGCTCCCTGGGGGCGCTGCTCATGGACCCCTACTATCGCACCATCAAGGGCTTCATGGTACGAGCAGCATGCATAGACTTAGCAAGATGTTAACGCTTGTATGAATGTGAATATTCTAATCCCCTGCTGTGCGTTTTACAAGCCCCATTGCTTCAAGCTTTCTGTTCACATTCATGTTTTTTCATAGGTATTAATAGAGAAGGACTGGATATCCTTTGGACACAAGTTTTCTGACAGGTGAGCCAAATGTCTTTGGTAATTCACACAGAGGGGACTCGGCCAAATATCAGCGTGTGCTCACACACTTCAAACCAGTGGCACAGAATTAGTATTTTAGGAGAAATTTAGAATGTTGTGTTCTGCCTCGACCGCTTGCCGTTACAGACACAGCCCATTTGGCCTTTCATGCTCTCTGCCTTTCGTCCTTCTTTCTTTCCTTCCTTACTACCTTCCTTCCTTCCAATGCACAACATTTGCACAAAAGTTTCAGCTTGAAAGCATTGGCCAAGGGTGTGCCTCTTCAACAAAATAACTGTCTTTCTTCACTACATTGTACCCATTTCAGAGTATATGGCATGGCTTTTTTTACTTTATTAGATTGATACATAGTCTTATTAGCCCTCTGTTTACGTTTTATTTGAATATTTATGAATTTCATATGACTTGCATTATATGACACGAATGAATTTTGTACCTAAAGGTGTGACCAGTTGGATGGAGACCCAAAGGAGGTGTCTCCTATCTTCACTCAGTTTTTGGAGTGTGTCTGGCAGCTGACTGAGCAGTTCCCTCAGGTTGGTCAGAATGTGCTAATGACAGAGCAGATGGGCTTTCTTGCATCTTATTCGGAGTGTGTTTCAGTTGTACTATTTATTTTTCGTACACTGTCCTTAGGCTTTTGAGTTCAGCGAGTGGTTCCTGCTGCAGATCCATGAGCATGTCCACTCCTGTCAGTATGGAAACTTCCTTGGCAACAATCAGAGGCAGAGAGAGGAATTGCAGTAAGGCTTACACATCCACTCTACATCTATGTAATGGAGTTGATTTCTCCTCCAGTGCTTCCACAGGAGCTTTTCAGTTCCCTCAGCCAAAGAAACCATCACTCTAAGATATATGCATTGATTCTGAGAGTGATACCCATAAAGCTTTCAGTGCATTAAAACCTGCATGCATCCAGATTAATTATCCATTTCCTACTACATTTCCCTCTGTTCAGACCTTGAAAACACAACCGTGTGACAGAAGATCATCCACACTTTGATGATACAACCATCGTTTTTATTGTGTTTTTAATAAGTCAACTCAAGTAACACTTTTTGAGCGCTTATGTAATGTGGTGTTTGAATAAATTAGACTCTGAATTTTAGGTTAACTTAAGAACTCAGACTTCACGACTGCATTGTGTGTTGTGTCTGCCGTTTTATGTTACAGGCTGAGGGAGCGAACTCACTCGCTCTGGGCATATCTAATGAGTGAAAAGCAGAACTACTTGAATCCGTTCTACAGTCCCGCCTACTCTGACACACATCCTGTGCTGGAGCCCTCCACCTTGCCCTACCATTTCAAGTCAGTGCAGAATTGCTGCCGTTTCTTCATATTTACTGACGCGTTCAGAAGGTTCTCCAGAATAAAAAAAAATGTCATCTACATGTTTGTTTCATTCTGTGCTTTCAAGGTTCTGGAGGAACATGTACCACCAGTTTGATCGGTCCATGCACCCACGGCAGTCTATCCTAAAAACCGTTCTGACTTTAAGGGAGAACAGTCGCAAGACAGAAAACATGCTGCATGCACTGGAGACTGTAAGCAGCGTTTATTTTATTTTATTCTTTATGTACAGTTTCCCACAAATCTTCATCAATATGCGTGGCACCCGTGGTCAGTCTCTTTTTGGCATTTATCACAGTTTATAAACGTTTTCAGCCAGCTAAGCGTTTGTGTTTCTGCGCTTCCGATCATTCTTTCTTAAAAGCCCTCTCATTCTGGGAAATTCTCAGGATGTCTTTTGTTGGCCTGATCTTTGATGGTGAGCCAACTTCCCGTGGCGTTTCAGTTAGGGGACTGTCAGGGCCAGGCATGAGTGTCAAGTTTTTGTCAGCTGTGGATTTCAGGGTGGGTTTGGGCTCATACATCTGGCTGGATCTCTTTCTAGCAGTTCTAAGCAATAATAACCTTTATTTTTTATATAACAGAAGTCTGTTAAATTAGCCTGAGAGTATAACTCGAGTCTTGAGTTGATAACGTTTATTCTTTTACAGTAGTATTTGTGAAAGCTGTATTTCCTTGCTTCAATGTTACGACTTTAATTATATTAAAAGGTTTATTTAAGTATGTGGTGTATTGTACGTTGGAGGATCTTTTTCAATATGTTTGTCCTTTTAATTATGTTTTTAAAATCGCCATAAGATGTTGGATTTTGCTTGACACATTGTTCTGTGTTACCTCATCCTGCTCTACGCATTCAGAGGCTCCAGCAGCTTGGGGTGACCCCCGTTGCCACCTCCGACATCCCTGCACCCCCTCCCACCAGAGATCAGCGCTCCAGCATTCTGCCGCCGCGGCCCGACTCCCTGATCCTGGGCGCCCCCGTCAACCACAAGGAAGTGCAGCGCCAGGAGGACGAGGACGAGCAGGACGAGGTAGGCGAAGAGGCAACGGAGAGCACGGACACAGAGCGGACAGTGGAGGGCAGCAGCGGCACCGAGAGCAGGAAACAGAGCTACGGGGAGCTGGACGGCTCATACAACGGCGAACTGGCCAAAGAGGAGCCGGCTGCTGTCAGTCTGGAGTTTGGTGTGGCACGCATGACCTGCTGAAACCAAACATAGGGAATGTGGGACACTGAAACATGGGTCTGGCTGAATGAGAAGACTTACCGAAAGTGTGTGTGTGACTGTGAGTGTGAGGGGGAGGTAGGGGGTGTAAAAGAGAGAAGCTATCATTGTGTATGTGCTTATGTACTGATAATGAAATGGTCTTGAATGGGCCATGTTGCTGAAGTTGTATGTCTGTATAGTCTAAATCTCTATGGAAATCTTCATTATCATAACATATACTGCACCAATAGTTAAAAAGATTTTTTTTAAATGAATGTTGTAAAGCACTATAGAAAACTCATGAAAAGAGAATAAATACAGAAACAAATCAGCCTTGTTATTTGTTATTTAGGTTCTGTATTTATACAGAGCAGTATAAAATCAAACAGATTTTATGTTTTAACAGTAATTTCTCCCATGGCAGATGTAGAGAAAATCACATTTTCTGGCACTGCAAATGACTTCATGTAAAGGCAGGAGGCCAGTACAATCTGCTCTCCATCCGATTTTACTCTGATCTGACTCAGAAAATATAGAACATCATGAATATAGGACACCACAAATTATATGCCAAAATGGGGTTAATATGAATTATGCCTTATTTATTTATTTAATTCATTGGTATTTGAATGTTTTTTAAAATTAGGAGTTCTATATTATTCCTATTAAAATACTGATAGAATTTCATTTTTAAAAAATCCTAGGTGAATATGAAAATGAACATTTTTATCTTACATAAACGTATGAAAATCGCAATGATAAGGCTTCTTGCTTTAATGGATCTTTACCATTTTCTGCTTTTCCAATTCCACTGGGGTTCTTTGAACGGTGTTATAAGAAAACCTCAATAGAAGCCGAGACTTTAAACAGTTGCTCTAACTTGAGTGCATAATACAGAAATACTGTTAAACCACCTCCTGAGAAGTGTCACAGCTGAACACATAAACCTGTTTTTTTTTCTCACTTTGATCAGATAATCTGATTAGCTAATGTGCATTGATCCCCAAATCCCATTGATTGTATCTGTCTGCCATGCTCGTGGCCTACTCTTTATGACAGCTGACCCTGATCTGCATTCACTGCAAACAGGAGAGAACAAGGTATAAGATTGATAGATCTTTTTGTACTTAAATGTCGATGTCAACCATAAAACCCGTCAAGGTTATAAATCTATCAGTGATTCTTCTTATGTCAGGACAATTATCAGAAGTTAATAATTGTGTTGTTCTGTACAAGAAAAAAGTATCCTCACATTTTGGCCATGACTGAAATTTTACATACTTTTGGTAAATTTAGCTATCAAAATCTAATAGAGTGCTTTTGATGAGGCAGAATTACGCTTTTTTCCTTCTTTTAAGATTAAATCTGGGTTAAATTTACCATGGAGATCCGTAGCATGTGAATTCAGGCCACAAGTTCAGTTTTATTTTTGAGCCAGACGGTGTTTTGGCTCCGCTCACAGTGATCTCATTCCTAACAACCATAAGAGTTCTGCGTTAATTCCAGACTTATGTTGTAACTCTGTTTTATATCAGGGCTCAGAAAGGATTAGATCCACGCAAGATTAGATTTACTGTGCAAATAAATAACTTCATAAGTTCGCAGCAGAATGGTAAGATACTAAATTTAAAGAAGGTCAGAATATTTGGAGCTGATGTAATGTGTATGCCTGTGATGTGTGCTAAAAATGACTCTAATGAATTTGTGCTTCAGCATTTGGAGTAAACTTCCTCTTCAATGCCTCCTTCTAAAAGCCCTCACACGCTGTAGGAATAAATAGAGGCTTTTGCTTATACACACAGTGACGCAGCAACTGGACAAAGCAGCATTTAGCCTCAGACAAACACTTTTTTTATGAGAAAATAAGGAAGTCATTGTTCATTTGTAACAAGTTGGAGTGAAAATAAACCAGCAATTCACTGGAACGCAATGTGTATCGATTCTGTTTTGGCTTTCAAAAAAGCCCCCCGCTGTTTAGGCTGTGAGAAAAGAGGAAACAATTAATCGCATAGTAACGGAGACGTGGAAAAAAAACAAGCAATAAAATAACAAAGAACTTATACAAATTGGTTCACGACTGGGGTAAGCTAAACAAAATATACAATGCCTATTTATTATCAGTAACATTTCTTCTTAATGCACAATGTGTTTTTTTTACAGGGGTGTGTAATAATTCTGGTGTAATGAAGAGATTATCTTCAAATACAATAATTTGTCTGGTTAACGCTTTGTCTGGAGCTTGCTGTTTGAAAGGCTTTCTTATGGTCTACTTGTGCGTTTTACCTTACATTAAACATTGAGAAGCCTCTTCCACTGACGAGCTGCTGAGGGCAGTCCCAGGGTTCTGAATCATTCAGAGTGCTGCACATCACGCTGTTTGAACGCTTCCTATGACAAGGCTCAAATGCTGTACTTACACAGAATAGAAATGCATCCAGTATACTCGCAAAAGCTCCATATAAACACACAAATGGGCATGCATTTGTGTCTGTATATGCACATGTACTACTCACAAAATGGCGCACACGTACCGATCGAATGTGGGTCATAATTCAGATTCTTTTAGTCAGTATTTTTATGGTACAATTATCCGAGAAGTAGCTTTAGTGTACGTGACTGGCAAGGCAGTGTGGTACAGATGGTCAGCCATTTATATTGCTTTTTGAAATAGTGCTTTTTTAGCTGATTGAATCCACTTTCTCCTGCAGAATATCGCTAACTCTACGTAGTGTTTTGCTTGTATGTAGAGTCCATATGCACTGTATGTGTTTGATGACAGGGATGTACTTCTCACTGTTCGCAGAACAAAGACTTTGCCTTTGCCCTGGTAGGTCATGATGTCATTCAATACACCAAAGACAAGTGTATTGAATAACATCATATGAGAACTCCGCTCCATGTGAGGCAGCACACACAGGACCCCGGGCGCATTTACACCTAAATGCAAAGGAGCCAGGACACACACTACAATAAGTCAGAATCGTGTGGTGAAAGATGTCTGTAATGCTTCATCTATTAGAGATATAACAGGTTTGTAGAAGTGTTTGGGAGGGCTGTTTCTAGACAGCTTGAGAAAAGTTTGCACCACTCCGTGTTGACTTAAGAAACAAAAGGGCTCAAGCAGTAATCCTGAGGGTCTTAAAATTCTAGCCAAACACACACACACGTGCACACGCTTAGACACATATTCCCAGTTGCTTGATTAAATTCCGAGCTGGATGACCCTCTGTCCTGAAACAATCCAGCCAATAAGACATGAATGTGCGATGCAAATTCTTTGGAAGTGCATCCGCCATGATAGAATCATGAGTACAGTCCTACGGACCGATCACATATGACCAGCTTTACCCATGCGCTGTCGTGTGTGTCATGTTGTAAATAGAAGTAACATGTAATATAAATTATGTGTTCTCTGTATTGTTCTTGCCTTTAAAAATATTGATGACTTCTCTAACAAACACACATGATGTTTTTTTTTATTTATTTATCTGAGGTAAGGGGAAGTAGAGAGAGACAAAAAAAGGATTTGCAACTTGTAAAAGTCAAAGACGAAGCTAAGGGAGTTTTGTAAAGATTTTGGCTGAATTTCCATAGGATCAAAGATATTGGAGATGCAAATCAGCAGTGCTCATGATGATACAGTATATTAACTTGACTCCCATCCTGTCAGCTGATAAGAAGGCTTGATTGGATTGAACAGAAAAAAGATCACCACTGTTGGGACTTTTTGTATTTACTCTTGGCACCGCAATCAATCCTATTTAATCAGTTCATTAAAGTCTGCAAAGTGAGTCATTCTTGGCTTTAATGGAAAAAACTATAGTTACATATATATATACAGTATGTATATATGTTCTTTCATGTTTGTCAAGATTTCGAGCCGGTATGCGACATAATGTTCAGGCGTTGTGCAACCACTGCTGTTTGTTCTGTGCATTCTTACCGACTCATGCACAGACGAGCCAAAAGAACAGCCAACACCATGAGAGGAGCAGAGCGAAAAAATGTCCTCTAACTGTCCCACTTCTTGCAAGGCTGGACTCAGGGGGCTGAAATGGGAACCCTATTTCAACAGGGTGTGGATTTGGGGGGGGGGGGGGGCGGTGGGAGGGGTTATAGTGTGTGTGCCTGTCTTATTTTTCATTGTCGAAAAACAAGTTGAACTGAGCAACCAAAGGAGCACGTGTTAGGTTTTCCAAGCACAAACCTGACAAAACCTGCTTCACGGCCGTTAACAGACAGCAGACCACAGCTAGTGTTACATACAGACTTGCTGCCTTAACCTTATTAACTAATTAAACCCTGTGGCTTTCCTCTCTAACTCGGCCCAAAATGTAACACTGTAAGATATTTCACACAGGCAAAAGGCTCTTGATTGCGTGATGCACTTATTCTTGGATATTGGGCTTTAATAATTTACCAGTGTTTCAGTGGCTTAAGTAGCATAGATTTCCGCCTAGGAAGCTGAAAAAAAATCCTTTGTCTCATCATGTAATATCTGATGCCACTCCTCAGTCTCCACTTATCAATCCACCAGCCATCTGCTGCTCAGAGTCAGTTTCAAGTCCGTCGAGTAGCCAGCTTATTTGCAAGAGGGGAGCACTCTGGTTGGTATACCTGCTAAACCTGCACATTGGGTGGCGGTGAGCAGACAAACCTGGGGGAATAAGCTTTACAGCTATACTCAGAAGAATCCCCTCAAAATGTGTTTGAGTGGGTGTGGGCATGTCTGCAGATCTGTGGGTGTGTGTTGCCTTTGGCTCATGAATGCAGACATTGTTTGACAGCAGCAGGCTGGAAGAGAAGAGCTTGTGCCTAAAGACGAGGAGGAGGAGGAGGAGATGGAAGGAGAAGAGAAGTAGTGAGGAAGGGAGGGAGGGAGGGGAGGAGAAGAGAGGAGGTTTGTAAGTGGGTTGGGGTATCAACGAGACTCGTGGGGGGTTGGGAAGTTAAAATGGTCAATAAAAAGAGCTTCCATTCTGGATCACAATGTAGATCAACCCTACAAGGGAAGATCCTTTGGATATTTCAGGAGAGAAACAATACCCCAAAAATAAATTAATTTTTTCAATAATTTTATTAAACTGACTTTTTAATCATTGATTAGTGTATATCATCATCAATTCAATGGACAACAAACTGCAGCAGAGGCCATTTATTAAAGTCAGGAAGTTGCAGCTCAACAGTTCATTGTTCTGCATGCATGAATAAACTTTGCTGGTTATTAGGGTGTTGCATGCTTGGTAACACATAATCTTGATTTAGGTTGACAGGCGGACAGTTATAATGCCGCCATTGCCCCACCTGGCTTTACACCTCCATATGGACGGTAAGCTACCATATGGCCTATATGTCTCACTCAAAATGTCATGTGTGTATATTGTCTGTTATTATGAGCGTAGCTGTTGTCATGTTTTGGATGGGACCTTTTCATATATATTTGGGGAGGGAATCTGTTAATATATGCGATATGTTTGGGATCGTATTGTGTAAATCATTCATTTTCAGGGTACAAAAAACTAGTTAGTCATGTATATTGTCCACGGAATTAGTTTCAGTCCTTTTTGTGCTCCCAAAAATAATGGAAACTGCTCCGGGTGTTTGCAGCACAACTGATTAATTTATTTATTTTTTCCAAATCTATATGCCAGCCTATTCCCATTAATTCTCCTGATTAGCAAGTCTTACATTTGAGTCCTCTTATTCAGGCTTCTGGTAGGATTATTTATGTTTGCATTGAGATTTTCTACGCTCTCACGCAGTTTTAATCCATTAGTGCAGTGCAGAGCTGTACAAATAGATTGAGAGCATAGTATATATGCAGAGCTGAAGGATGTAAGTCACATCAACAACAACTAGAAAAGTTTACACACTGCACTCTCAAAGTTTTGGCATTGTAAAACAACACATTTCAAGAGTTATTCTCTACTGTTGACTGCTTTCATTTGTCAGACCTGCCTTCTTGTGTGGCTGGCTTTTTACCGCGATGAAATGATTAGAAATGTGCATCTTTTTTTCTGTAATAATCCATTTCAATCAGTGCCATAACGGGTAACCCCGTTTTTGATGGTCCATGCTTAATGACACATTAGCGGGTTTGTATGTTGACTCGTATGGCGGCAGTATATTAGGAGATTGTGGATTAATGATCAATGACAAGAAAAAAAAAGCTAACTGCATTGGTGACATGCAAGGTGGTGGGAGAGGATGGGGGAGGGTGTGCACGACAGGCACTGGCGCCCTGCCAGTGTTGATGAAAGCTGCTTTAGCCCTCTGAGTTGCCATGGATACAAAGAGGCATGAGTGTATGTGTGCCTGCGAGAGAGAGAGTGTGTGTGTGTGAGAGAGAGAGAGGGAGGGATGGATGGGAGGGAGGGAGGCAGATAAAACCAGCAGGCAGGCGTTAAAGCAAGTCAGAGTGGGAGTGAAGGAGCACCGGGCAGCAGGGTGGAGGGAGAGAAAGAGGGAGCGTGCATGTGTGGCCGCAGAGGGAGAGGATAGAAAAGGAAGCCAGAGAAGTCGCGGGAAACAACGGAGAGGGAGCGACAGTGTGCCGGACTATGGAGGTGCAGCCGGAATGTGTGGAGCCTCATGTGGCCCCTCACTGTGACCCCCAGCCTACAGGGAAGATCAACAAAGCTGCCTTCAAGCTCTTTGGGAAGCGACGCGCCGGCTCGGGAATGGCCAGCTTCTTTTCCTTCAGGAACAAAGCTGCCGCCAACAGTAGAAACAGTGGGAATTCTGACAACGGGAATTCTTTGAATGGAAGCTCGGCAGCATCGGCGGAGCTCGTGAGGAGCAAAACACACGATGGGCTCACGAGCAACGATGCTGATGGACAGAGAGGGGAGGGGCCTGCAGGCCTGGAGGCAGGGCCAGTGAGGTCTCTCAGCAAATCGCTGAGCTTCTTTTCCCTTCTCCGACGTGGGAGTGTCAGGTCGGGTGAAAATGGAGGGGTGGGGATTGTGAGAAGAGGAAGAGGCCTGAAAGGATTTTTTAGCAGCATGCGTTGGAGACGTAAAGAGAAAGCAAACGAAGGAGAAAGGGAAGAGGTCGAAGGGAAGAAAGAGAAGGATGGGGATGTTGCGGAGGCCGAGAAGGTAAAAGACATCACACTCACCCTTGAGCCGCCGCCACATCATCGCCATGAGGACAGTGAAAATGCCGAGGAAGGGCCTAACCTCCAGTCAATAGACACTCCCACCACCAGTATTACAATGACACCCACACACTGTGTTGCCATGCCCGGACCATCTGGTGACCCGGGCTCCCCCTTTCCGTACACGCCCACCGATTCGCCGCTGCACCCTCCTATACAAAAAGCCAAAGCGTCAATTTCCAGCCTCAGTCCCTCCATCGCGACCCCCCCTCTGGATCGTTGCAGCGCGGGCGACCAGCCCTCCGAGCCCTCGGTGGACCGGCTCTGCTCTCTCCTGTTCACCGATGTCACGTCCCTGAAGAGCTTCGATTCGCTGACCGGCTGCGGTGACATTATTGCCGATGCGGATGAGGAAGGGCCGGCGGGTAACGGAGGCAGCGGCACCAGCAGCAGCAGCAGCGGGGGCGGAGGGGCCAGCGTGGGGGGCGGAATTGGGAAAACCGCTCCCGTCTCCGGCGGGACGTCTCGGACGTCCCCGTCCGCGGCCCCTCTGCCTCCGCAGATGGCCCAGTCGATGTTCTCTATTTCCCAAAGCTCGGCGCACGTCTCCCTCCCCGCTCGAACCCGGGCGCCCCCTCCGCCGCAGCCGCATCCGGCCGGAAGTGGCGTGGTGGCCTACATGGGCGGGGGGGAAGAAATGGCGAGTCCGGAAGGAGTGGACGACGCAGACATGCAGGGCCTCTGGCACATGCTCCCTTCCACAGGAGAGAGCTCCCCGGCGTTGCCGCGGCTGCATCAGCCCGCGTCCTCCACCCCCACGTCCACTTATCCGCCCCGCACCAATCCGGCCATCGGCCACCTGCCCTCGGCTCCCAGGAGTGTGGACAGAAAGGCGCCCCAGGTAAAGGCTCTAGGCCTCAGTAAGATACCGGTCGTCGGTGCAGCGGGAGGCCGGGCAGCTAAGCCCCCCCTGCCTCACGCCTATGGCCGACACCCTACGTCACCTGGGGAAAAAGAGCTATTCAGTGACGAGGGTTACTGGGACACACCCTCGGCAACACCTACAGCAACACCCGATGAGAGTGGGCTGCAGAGTAAACAGAGGATCGCCCTGTCACGCGACAGTTGCTCCGGGGACCATCTATACGACCTGTACAACGATCCCGAAGAGGAAGGGGAGGATTATGTCCGGGACGAGGACCTGAACAGTACTCCCTCTCCGTCCACCGAATATAAAATGAGCCCCACCTCTCAGACAAGCCCCCCTTCCTCCTCCTCTGCTTCCTCTTTCCGATCGGTGAAAGGGAGCACTAGCCTTCCCCGAGAATCCAAGATCCCAGTGAGCAGCAGACAGGCCTCCCCTCCCCACTCTGTAAGCCAGTCGGCCCTGTCGTCAGTTCTGGAGGCAGACCCCCCCCTGCCAAAGACCCAAGCAGCCCCGCCAGTCCGCACCAGAATCCCTGTGTCCAAGGTTCCTGTGCGTCGTTCGGGAAACAAACCGGGCAGCACGACAAGAGGAGCTGAACACAAGAAGTAGTTCTTGTCAAATGGGCGATTCTCACCTAATGCTGGACTCAGAAGTACCAGATTGCATTGCTGCTTATGTAGAGTCAAAAGCTTTCCCCAGGCCAAGAAAAATGTTTAGAATTAGAGTAAACACCTCACAAATCCCTCTCAAATCGTAAAACCTCTCATTCCTTAAGGTGTTTGTTCGTTTGTTTTGTGGAAGGGGGTTTGGGGGGGGCTTGAAAACAGGTTGGACCAGAAAAGGCTTGTTCACTTTAGGGGAGTTTTGACAATCCACGTAATCAAAAAAGATACTGTCATTGCATCTGGAAAAGCCCCTCTGACCTGCTGAATTTGACAGCCATTTTGAGAAAAATTGCAAAGCACCTTTTATTTTTAACATTTTTTCTACGGAATTTCATATGGTAATTTGACTACAAGGACCTGATCTAATTATAATGTATTATTCTTGTTGGTATTATTTCTAATGTAATTATTATTTTGTCCTCTTGGGTAATCCATAACAAATTACCTCCTAATCTTGTGATATCAGAGCCAAAGTTAGAAGAAAACAGTTTTGATTTCCTCTTACACTTTAAAACAATCTCAGCTATTTCCTCCACCCTCAACATTGCACCACTTTTTATTCGGCCGTTGTGCATCTCCTTCTCCTAACTGTGCACTGATTATACAACTGTGTGTTTAATATACAAGTCTGATCCAGTTTTATTGCTTGCTTATCTTGCAGCAATAAAGCTGCCCTTCTGAAGGCCACCCTTTCATTTTCTTTGGAAAGGAACGCCTCCTCCTTTGTGACTGACAGATTTCGTTTTTTTATTGTGGACGGACTGTGTTTGGCTAACTTTTGGACCTCACTCTCACCTCGCTGCAACAACGGGAGGACATTCACTGGACGTCAATCTCTGGGATTTACAGTTGTTTCATTTCTGATGGAAATCCGATAAAACTTTTGCAATACTCCACCCGGAGGGATCCTTTGCACTGATGCCCCATTTTGACGAAACGACATAGACTGAGCACCCGCACACTCAAATCCAGGCATGCACAAACATTTTTTATTACTCTCTGCATGCAGCGGCACCATACACCTGAGGCACAACATGTCAGGGAACGTCATGCAATGCTGAACCAGCTCCATGCACACTGTTCAAAAGTTGTCGATATTTGTAGCAACGCTGGGTAACCTTTATCTTCAAGGTAATTTCTAGGCAGTACTTTTTTTTTTTTTTTTGCTGGATTTCATACTTTTTTACTTCTTATTTGCTTCTCTGTCTTTTATTACATTGCACAGGTGTTAAACTGTGACTGAACCAACTTCTAATCGCACTTACTATCCTGGCCTTCCCGGTCTCATGTATTCAGTTTGTATTCAGTTTGTGCAGAAGCCACACGCAGCCAGCTTCAGGGAGCCATACGAAATGCAAAGCAAATGTTTTAAACCACGACACTGAAGCAGTTAGTTGATCTGCAACCTTTAACTACTGCCTATATTTCCATTCATACCTTTCAACTAAATTCCGGGATCCACCACAGATTTTTTGTAAATCTGAATGTAGCTTTCTGTTTTAAAGGATCACTATTTCTTTGTCCTTCGTACATGGAGTTAAGAACTTTACTGTTGTTCTATGTCTTTTTTGCTCTCAAAAAAGTCAATTTACTGTTCAGCTCTAGCAGCCTCTCAAACTGTTTGAACAGTGATGGAGCGTCCTGGGACGCTTTTGTCAGGGATTGAGTGAGGCCAGTTACAAGGACTGGATTGTTCCCAGATTGGATTAGATTTTCATAGAAAAAAGTTTTCCTGATCCTTAGCACAAGGATGCCATTAACGTTTAAGGGTCTCTTCATGTTTCCATCTTGTTGAGATTGCAATGCTTCTTCAAAGGCACCATGTGTAAGAGCCATGTGCCATGAAGTCATCTGATAGAGAATAATTGATTCGACTATAGCGTAACCCGTTTCAAGGCCAGCCGTATGAATGTTCATGGCAGCATGAGGGCAGATAACTCCAGAGTGATCGCGTTGGTTTATGCTTTATCTCTCCGTGCTGTGCCCTCTGCCCTGTTGGGATAAGTAAAAAAACTTAAATCTTCTTTTGATTAAATGCTGATTGTTAGAGGTGAAAAATCTGGACAGAGGTGATTTTGGGGGTGGGGAGGGGGGCTCTGTCTGTTGAAGTAACTCCAGGGAAATACGCTTGATGCTTGGAGTCTGTTTACTAAATTAGTTATCTATCTGCATATGATCATTTTTCGCTTTTGAATGTAAACAGAAACATACCAATAGTAACGCTAAACTTGAGGAAATTTTATACTGGTTATGCATTTTTTGTATAGATGCCCTCCTAATCCTCTGTCACTACGTTCCACGTTGAAGTTTGTTCCTCTCTTTTTCTGTTTCTTCACTTTTGTTCAAGTATGACATCATACCTTAATCCTTTCCTCCTGAGGCCACAGTACTGCCACCAGTTTAATTTCAGTGTACTTTTTCACTGACGGATATTTATCTTTCTTCTTTACAGAATTTTGGGCCTTTGTGTAAGAATTTGCATCATTGAAAAGCACATTGTGTTGTTCTTAATTTTGTTACAGTTTTTTCCAATGTGATTTTCTTCCACAGTTTGTTTTTGATTAATTAAATTGTATTTCCGCTGATAAATATGCTTCTGATTCCTTGTATTCTCACTGATGCAATACATTGAGTTTAAACAGGTTCATCAAACCCCGAACTCAAGTCATCTACTTTTACTTCTCCTCATCCTCTGAGCTTGAATGAATCTCACAGGATGCTTCTTTTAGTTGTGCAAAAGGTGTGAGTGTGGTGAATGGGCTATCACTTTTGAAAAGAGGTCAGCTTTGCATGAACGTTAAAGACTATCAATACATTCTACTGATTGCTGAGATGAAACCCCTTCCTGGTATTTAAAAAAAAACTAACCACAGAGGCAAGAACAGACAGCGTGTATAAAGGCAAGGGAGTTTGCATACCCACGTGATGCATATGGGTATGGAAACTATGGGTATGATTTTCTGTGAGCGAAAAGCACAGGAAAGGTACGCTGCAGCTTTATCATCCAAAGATGGCACATGTTGCTAGGAAAAGCTCACTTGTTGTTGTTTGGGTGCAAATGCATGTGCAGTAGCAGCATTTGGTGCCGTGCGAATCCCCTTTTTAACGGGGCAGCAGCACTACCCCCCCCCCCCCCCCCCCCCCCCCCTTCACTTCTTTGAGGTTTATGTAAAAGGCTTACGTAAGACTCTCACTTGTACCAGCCCACCACATCAAAGCAAAGGATGCTGACAGTGAGAACGAAGCGTGTCTGTGCATGCGCAAACGTGTTAGCTGATTTCCTAAATCTGCTGGATGAGGACATCTGCTCTAAACGTGCACCTGCTTGTTTTAGTGCATAAATCTAGTGCAAGTGGACAATGGGGATGATTTTGGCTCCTGCTCGCCCTCAAGGATTGCATACAAATGAATAGATAAGAGAATAAAGACAGAACTCGTGTTTTAATACAGGCAAATGCGCCTTAAGCTTTCATTAGGGTTCCATGAAACAGGCACAGAAATATTTAGGACGATGTTTGATCACATAACAGTCCACTATATGGTAAAGCAAGAAGAAAAGCCACAGAGGAAAAACCCTGGATAGAGAAAAAAAGGAAGAGTTTTGATGCACTTGATTTCAAAGTTGAACATGTGGTATTTGCAGTCTAAAATATGAGGCAAGCATCTACTTGGAAGGTTCGGAAACGGAGGGGTAAAAACGCTCTCACTGGAGAGTGCAACCAGTCTTCTTTGTGTCATAATGTGAGCATGTTTGTGCACGTAAAACTCTGCTATGCTGCTCGTATGAAGGATGCCAGGTTTTTCACTAATACATATTTTCTAGCTAAGCAGCCTCCCATAGATAGAGAGAGAGTTCAAACCAAAATCAGTATTGATCCGATTTTATATTTGTGGAGAGGGGGGGGGGCTCTTTTATCTCTTGGAAGAGCACTAATTCACCTAATCGTTTTGCTCTGTTGGTTTTGGATTGATCCTGCTGCAGTGATGCGGAGACTGAACCTGGAAGTCCTGGTCTTACAAAGAGTTCAAGTGTGTCATTTCTCAGCGGTATATGTGATATCTTGAAACCAATGTCACATTTGCTTATATTGCGCAGAAGTTAACCTAATTGAGCATTTTATGCGATGGAATTGATGGAATCCATTGCAGCCTAACATGATTAGCATAGTATGCAACAGAAGAATGTTCTGTGCCGAGTTGGACTTGAACTTGAACTGAAATCATATCATTTACAGGTAAAAAAAACAAAAAACCAATAAACAGTTGTAGAAACATTTATTTCTAAACTTCTTAGCTAGAGTTGTGGCTTTGCTCTAGCTTTTTTTTTTATACGCTGTGATCCAGTGCATTACATTCAGGGAACTTACATTGGAAGGTATTAACTCAATTTGTGGTTTTCAGGGGACCTTTTTTTCACCAGAATATTCTCCAGTTGTCCTGTGTTTAGGTATTTACACAGGCATTGATGGTTTCATTCATACTTGCTATGCTCACATCTCTATATCTGAGGCCTTATATATATTTTCTTGCTCATGAGTACTTAAGTGTAAATTTTTACTTTCATACCAAATAGGTTGAATAAAATTAATTTCCTTTAAATAAGTCACAATACAAATATTTTTGGTCTGTTTCAGTTAATATATATATATATATATATATATATATGTACATATTTATATATATTTATACAGTATATTCCTCTTGGTCCATTTCAAGAGGCTGAATTTACAAAAGAACTCTAATTGGATGTGGCTGTAGGCTCTTGGATGACTGTATCAACTTCAACATTTTTGATCGATCACAGATGTTCCTCTCTTCCATATTTTGAAAATGCATTTGACCATTTCTCTGCGGATCCATGTTTCAGACGTATGGAACAGGAACAACCCATAGATTTCCAATATGGAGGCTCACACATTAATTTATAGCCATGCACCTACAATTAGGGTCATTTGAATTTGCATGTATGCATGTTTAAAGATCAAAAAAGGCATGTAGGTGAGGAAAAGGTGAGTACATAAAAAGAGATGTGAAGCTCATAGTTAAGGATTCAATACAGATAACAGGTAGGCAGGGTTTCCTGACCTCAATGAATGTGTTCATGTGATGTGTGTGTGTTGAATGGAGCACCATTCAAAAGCTGTACCCCACACTCTCCATGGCAGCTTCTCAACAGGCGTTCCCATAGTAACTCCACTAGGTCAACCAATCAGAAGAGGGGGCTGAGCAGAAGGGAGGATGGGGAGTACAGGGGGGTTGCTAACGCAGAGTGTGAGGGATGTGATTGGAGTCGAATTGGTGCATTAAAACAATTATGCAAGCACGCTGACCCACATGTTGATATGGACAGAAATACATTGTCATTCTTTTTGCATTCACAATGAAAGCTTCCCCTTTGATCCTTGATCTCAGAGTGTAAACACCCCTTATTAAACGGTTGAGGGAACCAGAAATCCCTGCCGTTAAAATTCAGGGTCAGGGGATCCACTTCAGGGGTCAGAGGATAGCTGCAGTCTGTCCAAGCTGCCACTGTAGCAGATGGGTCAGGGGTCCATCACAGGACCACACAGAGACAAACAAGCATGTAGGATCCCACTCACTCCAGAGGGCAGTTCAGAACCACCAGTTATCCAGGGGCGACGAGGCCTAGGTACCTGAGGACAACCCGCACATTCATAAAAAGAACTTGCAAAGTCCATATAGAGACCACACATCATGTAACCCAGAAATGCACTGATTTCTGTTTTGTTTTATGAGATCTGATTTGAATTCAGTTTGTGTACCACAGATATCAGACATCAGGCAGTGCTAACATCCTATTATTAAGCCTCGTGACAAGCACCACCCCACTCTTTCCAAAGGCACTGTTTGTCTTTCGTGCTCCACTTCACACTCTTTGCATGATGTCATATTTTCTTTTAGGGTAATACGTAGTCTTCTATCCTGTCAATATTTCATTAGCACTGTAGGCTTTGATTCCGTTACACGCTGTGCATGCAAGAGCAAGCACTGCAATGTGACCTCAGAAAATCTCATTTTGGTTGATGTTTGTTCACTTGAATGCCAGGCAAAACCGTTGAATTTTGAGCTGAGTTTAAACTCACATGTCCTCATGTAAGTCATATAACAAGCATGTGTTTCTGTACTGTGACAAACTCCAATTTTGTTGAAATGATAAGAGAGGATGCACAATATCTGATTAAACTGAATAGATACTTGCGAGGAGCAAAGCTAAATTAGATTGTGGATCACAAGATAAGTGGTGATAATCGCTGGTCATTGGATGAAGCTTAATGTTTAATTACATAATATAATAATGTGAAAATAGAGTTCTATATTGAATTAACGTTTACTCTTAGCTGAATCTATCCTTAAACATTTAGTAAAAATGGGATTATCAAATGTACTTGATGAATTTATATCAGTCAAAAATGCCTTACTAAACTGCAACTGTCCTCTCCATCATTTAGCAACAGCTCCAAAAAAATGTATCATTTAAATTAGTAGAGAGTATTACAAAAATATATTAATCATTGGAAGCTTGGTGAACTGTCAAAATTTTACAAGAACAGTTACCATAGAAAATTCCTTTAATAATCTCGCAGTGGGGATATTCATTTGTTACAGCAACAGTCACAAAATACGTCTGTATTGAAATGCATGAAAATATAAACAAATATACAGGAATGAAATAAACTAAGAAAGAGAAGGGTGATGAAATATATGATTTCATACAAAAATCATGCATGGAACAAAAAACATATATGTAATTGAAAGATCTCTCTATATAAAACAGGGTAGCGTATAAAAGCCAATAGATAAAACAAAGAAAAAATCCTGGACAAGGGTAGGAGAAGCTGAGATAAGACAGCATTAATAAACAATTAAATCCAAGCTCTGTTTTAGAAAGTTCGAAAGAAGCCTTTCTGACCTTAAAGCTATACTGTACTATGTTGATAGTCCATTAAAATATTGACATTCCCATCTGCCATCAAGTCCCCAGGAAGGCTGTACCTTGAGAACCATTGGACCTAAATTATGTGTCTCCATATGTATAAGTGCTGAGTTCAGGACTTAATAAAATATCTGAAGACCTAAGGCCTTTTAGAAAGATAGTGTCTGCTTCAACCACAGAAAGTCTCAAAAATCAATGAAGACACCAGTCCAAGGACTTCAGACCCTTATTTTTTGCAGCGTAATGGATCAATGCTCTTTACTGGAAGCCAAAAAAAAAAAAAAACACAGAATAGTGTCTTTGCATTGGTCTGGGAGCTGAGCTGTTGCATTCTGACACACTTCTTCTGGTGAAAGACCTACAACTACAAATTAAATATGTGACAGTGATGACTGTACAGGCTACAGTCTGCTTTTTTAAAGCCATATTATGAGGCACTTAAATATATGCAGTTGTTTTTTTTTAGATACATTTGGATGTATTTTATAAAGTAAATAAAATATTACATTATTGCAAAATTGCTGTGCAAATGTCAGCCTGTTATCATAAATAAAACAAATAAAATATTCAATAACTTTTATATCACTGTAGGTATTTTCATTTTGTGTAATTGACTTTCTTGATGTGCATTTATTTCAGCATTTCGTGTGTATCTGTGTGTGTATGATCTCTGATGTTCGCAAATCGAACAGTTGCATTACAGTAGATACCCCATTGATCAGATTAAAAACGTAGCAGTTTCTGGGTATTGATATTCAATGAAACCCTCAGCCGTCTTAGTGAATACAAACATAAATATTGTAGGAGGTTGTGGTCATTTCTCATGGTAAAGTTCATTATATTTTCCTCCAGCTGTTACTTGCCTCACAAGAGTTTTCCAACACAAATTTCCAGATTTAGTTCTGGAAAATTACAGTGGCAACCTGTACCTGAAACCCCAGCAATTTTTCACAGTTGTTTGATTGAAAGTGCATGCTTGTCTTCACAAGTTAGAGCTAAACATCCAGGCAAATTAAAATGTCTTTGCTTGTAGCATTTCAGCCTGTAAGCAAATTTCCATTAAACAACTATGACAGTGTGACATTTTCTACAAATTATTTATTGAGAATTCATGTTCACAGACCTGACTCATCATCGACCACTTCACTTTTTTCTTCATCAAATCACTGTTTAGAGAAGAATGACACACTGCCATTCTCTGACTTCTTTTTTTTTGGGAGGGGGGGGCGGTGGGGTTCGTAGTATCATATCAGATAAAAATCTTAATTCAAAAGATGTAAAAAAAATTTACACAGCCATAAATTGTGAAATGTGGCTTCTGCCCATATATTCTATGTATATTCACACAATAAATAGTTTATATTTGTCAACGTTTGCATCACCTGGCTGATCAAGACAGATTAAGATCCGGTAAATAGTACACTTGGGTTTCAATAACATTTCAAAGACACAGGTCCACCCATGAAAGAGAATTCATGAAGCCCTCAAATGTCTAGATTGTAAGATTCCTGTGAATCAACAGTCCGATGCACTTCCTCATTCAGCCTGCTGGAGCCTGAATATCCACACTGATAAATGTGTATAACTTATCCTTCTCAATCTTTTTGACGGTGTAACTGAGGGAATTAAGCCCATCCTGATCCATTGTAAACTGTGTTTTTTGCAGTTTGTCAGGATTCACTGGATTAGGCTCATTGTGCAAGTCTCTTTGGTGTCTGATCATCTTGTACCTTCCAATCATCAAGTCTGGCCGGGAAATAGTCATTCCACGGAAGATGATTCTTTTGTAAATGTCATCATCCTCACCACCCCAGCCCCAGTAACCATTTGGAAAGCCGTTGATTTTTAAAAAGTGCTGCTTGGAGAGTGAGGAGACCCCACCAAAGTAGGTGTTGTAGGGTAAGTTGAAGTTAAACTTGTCCATAGCCACAGCCAAATGTCTTGGATTGTCAAAACACCTGTAGAGGTTGCGGTCATCTAAGGGCACCAGGTCTATGTCAGAGAAGACAAAGCACTCATAGTCATATTGCTTCAGTGCTTCAGAAAATCCGGCATTCATCAGCTTCGCCCGGTTGAAAATTCCATCTCCATCCTGGTTGATGACATAGATGCCATAGTCTAGCTGCTGCCTTATCAAAATGGGATGGAGGTAATACATCCAGTGCTTCAGGTGCTCATGCCGATTTCGGAAAGGAATGATGACTGCAACCTACAAAATGAAGAACATGTCAGATCATTTTTTATACACAGTATTGTGCAAGTTTCAAACTACACACATTGTGATTTTCAAAGGTTTCTGTGTGGTTGGTCTTCCTGTGGGGCAGGCTGGCTCTACACAAAAGACACGCCGTTGAGTTTCATGCAACAGTTTAAATTACTTGATATGGTGTAAAAGTTTAGAACAAAAAACTATATACATTTTGGCTCCAATTAGTAAGCCTATGGCCAAATTCCTATTGGGTAATAGAGGCATCTGTGATGGTGAAATGGTCACACTTTTAATACCCCACAACTAATTACAACTTTGTGGGTTGATGATTTTGAAATTGTAAGTCTAGAAAACACTGTCAAGGAAATCATAGTGATGCCAGTAAAAATAAGCTGTGGGAGTTGACTTCAATCAAGATTGGAATCAAGAAGTTCGTTGGATTTCCAGTTCAGGGACATTTTTTAATTCCTGTATGGCGGATGTGATCATTTTACAGCTTCCTTGGTTATATTTGAGTAAGTTTAATCCTGTGATTAATTAAACCAGGAGCTTTCTTTTTTAATTAAAAATCAAGTCGTCCTTCCCTTGAAGAAAGTTTAGAGAGCTCAATTTTGCCAAAGCATACAGATCTTCACAAACTGCATCACAAACATCCACAACTCTTGAAGACAGGTTTCACACAAAGTCTACAACTGCCCATTGCTTCACTTACCTTCTGCTTTGAGATACATTCTTGCGGCTTGTACCGTCCTCCTTCCTGCAGAAAATGACCAACTTCTTTACGAATTTGGTCTAAACTCCGTTCAGAATCAAAGTCTACATGAAGAGGACCCACGAGGTTTGGAGGGGTTTCAGGGCAGGGCTCCATAGTCCTTTCTCCAGAGGCAGGAGTCACATTCAGGGCCTGACCACTCAATCTTGAATTCCAAGAAAACGATGCGTTCTTTTTTGACAGTGGCTGTTGCATAGTAAGAACACCTGAATAAATGCTTGGTCTGTAGAACAAAAAGACTGCATAAAAAACCAGACTGAGGAAGGCAAAAAGTGACAGGAAAAGAAAAAGTGTTTTCAGCATTTTCTCCACTCTCGCTGTTGCGTGCTCCTCTGCCGCTCTGAAACCTGTATTTCTGTTTGCAAGTCAAATAGTTTTTTTTCAACTTGCGAGGAGCCACCCGACCGGTTTTATATTCTTTGAGCAACTTCCTGGTTCAACTCAGAAAATGAAGGTGGTACTTACACCTGTGGATATTAGTCAGTCAAACGTTCCTTGTTTTTATTTCTTCTCAAATAGGTGAGGATACAGTCCATGCTTAAGGATAAAGGAGGCAACTATGACTCTGAAGATGTCGACAACTCATTAATTTCCTGAATTATTTCCTTTAGTGCTCATGATGCCTTGACGTGCCTCCATGAAACTGTTATAGACTATTATAACAATAAGAGACTAAATACTTTAAATTAAACTATGACTAAAAAGGAGAAATAAAAAAAAAATTGAATAACACAGAAATTAACAATGCATAACAATGAGGCTATATGTCAACACAAATATCTTGTTAAAGTACGCCCTCTGCTGGTAAATAAATGTTAGTGCTGAGTTCCGAGCAAAGGCAACTTCAAACCAAGACAAACCAAGAGGTTGGGTCACCAAGAATCTCTCAAGAAGTCCTCCTAGAAACCAAACAAATGTGTCAGTCTTGAAAGACACGTAAGCCAAATCCACACGTGAAGATCTTGGAATGTCCCTTCTCCCTGACAAAGACGCCCATGTAATTCTGTCTGTCTCGAGTTCAGCCACAGTAAACACCATGGCCAACAGGACATGTCTGTCCCTTGTACAAGGGAACAAGACAAAGGTTATTTCCTCTTCCAGTACATTTCTCCTCTGGAATGTTACTGATAACTATCCAGCACTGCAGACTTCCCTTTTATGAACGGGCTAACCAATCATAAGTCATGTGTAGGAGGGGGGGGCACCCAAAATGAGGAAGTGAGGCCTACGTAAATGCTCACAAGTGAGATTGGCGGAAGTTACACAAAATTTTATGCCGCTTAGTCAGAGACGAGCAGCTGCTAAATAATTGCAAGTCTTGTATCTGTTGCATTATAACTACCATCAGAACGCCACCAGGTTCTAATCTAAGTTGCCAATTGTATAAGAGGTGAATATGGGAACCCACTATAAAAAAAAACTTGTATTTCATAATCAAACCTCTAGAACAAGCTTGATTGGCACCCATTAAATTCCATTTTAAATCAATGTTGATGTAACAACATCAGCAAACATTACATGAAACGAAGAGGGAGACATATTTAAAGCGTTGACTGATTGGTTTGAGGTTCATCTAATAATCTGTGAATAAACCAAAACTTCCACTACCTTAAAATCGTCCTTGGAGTGTTTTTAAAACTAACCGAAAACAAAAGGGGAAGGATATCTAAGACAGGAAGTGGCGGTTTATCATCAGTTGGGGGAAGTTTTATTATTTGTAATTTGTCAGCTAGAAGAATCAGTTATTGCAAAGCTTTATAAAATGTACCACATCCTTTTTATTTTAGAAAATTCATGCAAAACACAGCTGCAGGTGAATAAGACAGCTCTACACTTTGGACTTTTTTTATACTGTCATACAGCAACATTTTATGGCAAAATCAGGACATAGCGAGTTGACATTCCCAAAATAATAGCTTAAACTCTCGGTAATTGGGCAAAGAGTTGCCTACCTCCACATGTGACCCTTGAAGGTTATGCTGCTCCAAGGTTTTAACCACACAACCACTTTTAAGCCAGGATATGCACTCATAGATCGGTTAATACTTTGTTGGTTAAGCTTTGCTCAGACATGTGCCTCTAAAAGAGAGGGTGTTGGCTGGTTAAAGACGATTAAAACTGTGACATTATAAAGTTATCTGTATTATATTGTTTTATTGTTTGTGTAAGGCAGTGTGTATGCACAATTACTGTACAGTACATCTTTTCAAAGTGTGGGCTTGTTAGTTAAATAACATGATGCATAGTCTACACGCTGTGCATTCACCATGGATTCCATCAATCAAAAAGACCAAGTACATCTCAGAAAGTGCCTTAACTATTTACCATGTCTAGTTATACACACAATGAGGGTTTCTGTTCTGTTGCAACTTCAGTTACGCGTTAATCTGCCAATGCTGGCTCTTAACTGGGCACTTTCTGCTGTACATGTTTGCTTAACTCTTTACTTTGTCCAAAAAAGGCCTCTACAAGATCTCATTAGAGCTGAACGTTTGAACCCGACTGAAATATTTCACAAAATCTATCATGGTATTTTCCATACAGGTCAGCTTATTCCAAATTGAGCACATGGTGGCTGGAGCCTGTCCCAGTTGTCACTAGAGGAGAGAGAGGGGGCAAACACCCCGGACTCATTGCCAGTCCAACGCAAGGCTACACAGAGGCGAACAAGACGGACGAGCATGCACACTCACTGCTAGCGTCCATTTAGAGCTGCCAGTCAACCTAACGTGCATGTTTTTGAATGGTGGAAGGACACCAAGGAAACTACAGAAAACACACACATATACACAAGGAGAACACACAGACTCCACAGAGAAATGCCCCCAGCCAGGATTTAAACCGGGAACCTTCCTGCTGTGAGGCGACAGGATCTTTGGAGGAAAATGAATAAATTGATTCTTTCTAAGTGGATATACAGTGTAACAGTAAAGTTGTTCGAAGATGCGAAAATGAGCCCAGCTTAAGCCTCAGGTTATTTTTGTTTATTAAAAAAATGACTCTAAATCTACTTTCCCCAATCGAAAAACACAGTTCATCTCTATGCAAATGCAATGTAGTGAAACAATATTATGGCTTACGCTTGACTCATTACAAGTGAGATTTTACAAAACGCCACTGTCATAAAGTCATACATATGACACTTACCTTTTTTATTTGGCCTGATTACTACCAGCTATGATGTTTCAAACCTACTTATGGGTGGAGAGTTGGACTTTGGTCATTCAGGCTGACAAATGAAAACTGTGGTGAGAGGGAAAACAATTAACTATGTGGATTATTAACCAGACCAAAACACAGTCCCTTGTCCCTATATGATCATCTTTATTACCACTAGATGGTGACAATGTATCACTGGTAAAGAAGTGGCACGCAGTCAGTCATCGTTGTAGTTTAAGGACACTCCTTTGCCAGCGTGCACACGTTCTCTTTTTCAAACAGACACAGTTGTGTGTCCATCTTTTAAAAAAATAGTCAGTTAATAAATTGAATATGCAGTCTAAAGTTTAATGTATTGATATATCAACCAACATTCATATTACATCTCTGTGTAGCCCATGTGGGTTTCTTTTTCTGACAACTTTGCCCTCTGTTTGTAACTACATTTGAATAAATGGGCTGTTGTTCACATAGAAACCTGATACTGAGCCCCAGATAGATTAAATCCAGAAAAGGTTTGAATATTTTAATAGATTTTTTTTCACATATCCCCTGTTTAGCTTCTTTTTTCTTCTCCCATGACTCGAGTCTCAGGACAGGAATGATGCTTACCAAGACACATTTTGATCTTTGAATGCAGAGAGGCAGGATTCTTGGATGGACAGCCAAGCCAAACTGTGCAAGCAATATGGGCAGAGCCCTGCTGATTTAGCCACACAAGTCTTTGCTGGAACTGTGGCGTCCCTCAGGGAGAGGGTGGTTCTGCTTTTTTTGGACTCATGTTTCCACATTTCACTTAGAGAGCATGCTTGCGGTGTCAGAATGACATTTATGCAAAACCTGTGTAATTTCTCAGAGGAATATATTCATATCATTTGAAAGATCAATTTAATATCTAACTGTTTATACATATATATGTATATATTATATATGTATATATTTACAATTATTTTCCTGAGCAACAGCCCTTTCACATTCCAGACATCTGATTCTGTAAACGAAACCTACACATGTAGTTTTGAGTCACTTTTCTTAATGCCACACACTATGCTTTTTTTAGCTTGTGCAAAACTCATCCTTGGTTACACTAATAAAGTTGAATAATGATGTGGTCTCTTCAGTGAGACATGATGAAACCATAATAGCATCAAAAACAGCAGAAAGCTAGACCTTTGGCGGACAAAGACAGATATGATGTTTAATTTAACAGAACATGTATGTAAATGTAGCAGTTTTTACAGCTTGAAATGTACTATTGTCGGCCCTCAGAAAAGATTCAGGGTTTGCAAGAGTCCATATACACGCCCACCATCTGAAAATTTGAATAAACTGCATACACTCGTTCTCAGCAGCCATAAACACAGATGCACACACAGACACACACATGCGCATTTATACTCAACCACAGCTCTTAAAACAGCCCTAGTTACAGTCTAGAAAACTCAGCAGTTTAGTGAAACATGATGCCCAGACCATAAAACTGTATGTGTTTGTGTGCACTTGTGAGTGTGTGTGTGTGTGTGTATGTGCATGCGTGTGACTTTGAGTGGTCTCAGCTGTGTGGGACACACTGCAATGACAGCCAATCAGAGCTAATTCAAAATCAGAGTGGTTCTGACGGCTCTATGGTCTACCCGGGGGAACAAAGTGCTTGCATGTGTGTATGTGTGGCATTGTGTATGCGCACACACCTCTTCAACCATACTCTGCACTCCACCTGCTTCTCATTGCTCAAATGGCCTGAAATCGTTTTTTTTTTGTTGTTGTAATATTCATACATTTATTCAACATTTGCATTCCTTGGCTTTTATGCCACAGATGTAAAATGATGACAATGTGTGGAGGTTTGAACTCAAAGTTAAGCTGTAATATGCCGTCCTTGTCTCTCTTAAAAGAAACCTCTGTGCTTATCAAATTGATTTTTTTCTCATACATGCAACACACCTTTGCGCAGCCAATAACTTTGGTGGATTCCAATGCCTTTCATGGCGTCTTACAGCATCTGTGCCATGCTTCCATTATTGTAAATGCAAAGCTATATTAAGTGACCTACTTTATGAGATAACCAAAATGTCACAATGCATTACTAGGCTTAGAGAATGTAAAAAAACAACGTGTACCTAACAAAACAGATTTGGATGTGAACATTAGACTTCCGGCTTTTCAGTAGCAAACACTAGTACTTGAAATACAACATGGATACGAGACATCACAGTTTGAAGCACAACAAATGTTAACATCTAATTATTCAGGCTATGAATTAATTTAAATATGATCAATTTTGGATACTGTCTGGGGAGGGAAAGGTAGTGGTGCTGGGGAGCTTGCTCGTTTTTCACTGGACAAGACAAAGGGGGGTGGGGGACATCTACCTACCTGCATTCAAAGTCAGAGCACAAAACAAAACAAAAAATATCAACAACTAAAGAAAGAAAGGCATGCCATTTCCTTATGAGTACCTTAAGTTGAGTTGACATACCGTAATGTTCAAAGACTACAGTAGTCATTAAAAATCTATGATCAGGTGCTGAACACAACATTTAATAAAGGCATTAACGTTTGTGATGACATGAAGCCATATTCCCCAACCCCTTCACGTAGATACACACATAGAAATAAGATCTTCAATATTTTTTGGGGCATGGCCCCAGTCATCAGCCTACATAAAATTCAACACAACCTTTGAGATAAGAAACATTTCGTGATAAACAGAAAAATGTACAGCTCAGCATGGCCATGATCTTGTTTCACATGTCTTTGTTTGTCATGTATGCTAGCATCAATGTTAAATACACTCTTATCTATGCACATCTATGCTAATTGAATCTGTGTTAAAAAGGTCAGAACAATATATATTTGAATAATCTTAAAAGCAAAGAGCAACCTAACAAGCAGATGAGGTTGGATTTGCCCCTCACCCTATTTTCTTCTGGTGCGATGGTCCAGTGGGATCAACCCCTGCTCCCATACCACAAACCAGCACACAGATGGCAGGTTGAAAAGGGCGATGCATTTTAGCTTTTTCAAAATGCCAATTGGCTCCATGTCACCCCAGGAGAGTCTGACCCCCGCTTTTAGAAACCTTTACATAAATCAACACAACGTAATGAATGTTCTTTGGGAGTGACATCACATTTCAGAGGTACATCTTCTGCACTCTTTTTTAACTTTACGAGAATTTCACCTGAGATGCTGACTGTCCCAGTCAGTTT